AATCGCTTGAAACTCGAGTACTCGATTATTGAAATTAATCGGTTTTTCCCATCACTAGTTGGAACATTATTTTTCACAATTAGTTACTCATTTTACGACAGATGTAATAGATTATATTTAGCCTAGATATAATATTATTCATTAACTTCATTTCAGTAGTATACACGAAAGTTTTTAAAATAGTTTTTTTCTTTTCTACACAATTTTTTTACAAACGTAAAAACCGGCAACAAACCGGTTTGCCGCTTTGGATTTTGTCTCCCTGTCTGTCAACCGGTCATTTATATTATTCTGTGTCTTACATCTTAAAATCCAGACCACACATTAAAACATGCAGAATGTGGGTATGGTAGGAGGTGGCAACATTGCACTCTCTCCGAGATTCTCTCGGAGGTAAGCGAATGGCTCAAGTTTCGTTTAGCCGAAATCAGTTACATAGAATATCGGTTTATAGGATGATTCTATACAAGAAAACTAACACTACATAATTTGATTTTTGCCGCGGAAATTCTTTGTTTTTGAGAAAACTCGAATTTTTAATTTTTCTATTATTAACTAAAATTTAAAACTTTGCGGCGTTTTTAATAGTTTTTTAATTATAGAATAACGTAAAAACACTTAATATAACGATGTGAACTAATTTTTATTCGAAAATATATTTTTATCACAATAATTTTCATTGATTTTTTCGGGTTTAGAATTTGCTATAATTTTTCTATCTAACTTTGTCCGCGGAAATTTATCATAAGAGCGGTGTAATGGAAAATCATCAATAATTCGAAGTTTTCCATAGTACTCTCAACTTTTTTACATACTTTCGGTTTGGGTTTAGTTGGTTTGGTTTGATTTAGTTGATTTTATTGTGTTTGGTTGTTGTGTTTGATTTAGTTGTTTTTATTGTGTTTGGTTGTTGTTGGTTTAGTTTGTTTGGTTTGCTTTGGTTATTTTTTTTGTGTTTGGTTTGGTTTAGTTGCCGTTTTTATGCTTTATTGATAATTTTTTTTTTATTTTCACATTTTTTGACCATAGCGATATTAATTATTAATAATTATTCTCAGCACAACATTGCCATCATCTGTTTCAGGTAATCGTCATATGTAACTTTTGTTTCCAATAGATACTACGTTTTTTAATAAGTTTATTCTCTTCAGTTTGTCTCTGGCTTACTCTTCAGTCAAACCAGGGACAAATATTTTTTTATCCGTATTTTTTTTTTATTTTGTACCTGATCTTTGGTATAATTTCACCACAAAATAATGATATTTTGTTTTTTTTTATATCAGAAACGTTGCGTTTTGGAACCGAAAATGTATCAGAAATGTTACGTATACTTCCTTCCTTGTCAATTCAATCTTGCATTTTTTTGCAGCAAAAATCGTTTGATTGGCGTCAATTTATAGCGATATTTTTTTGTTATAGCATGCATATTTAAATATCTCAAACACCAAATCATTTAAACATATTAAACTCAGATAATAAATGCCTTATTTTCTGCCAAGAATCCAAAAATGAAATAACATACCGGGTGTTCCATAAGAAAAAATATAACTTTGGTATGGATCTAAGTTCCGCCACACCCTGTACAGGGTGGGTCAAATTCGACGCTTTTAAATGGAAACACCCTTTTCTATAGAAGATAGACGAAAACTAATATCGGTGTCTGGAGCTCAATTTTCATCAAAAACATGATGGTGAAAACCGCACATCAATATTTGTTACCGTTTCGGAGTTACGGGGTGTTTCTCAAAAATGTGCATTTTTAACAAATCGCTGTAACTTTTTTGCTATGGAAAATTTTGTATTTCTATGAAAACATTTCCAAAGCACCTTTTTACGTAGAATTTAATGCTTTAAGTATAATTTTTTTAAAATTAATAAATTAAGAGTTATCAACAGAAGAAATTATTTTTTATTTGGGACACCCTCTATATTTTTAATTAACTTAAAAAAGAATTTAAAATTTACTTTCCAAAAATATAGCACACTTGATATTTTGTTATAATCCCCTTCGAAATACAGAATTTTTAAAAGTTCGCCTCTTTTAACTAGTAGGCCCCCTTCTTGATATGCCCTTAATGGAACTCGAAAACATATTTTTCCAGCAAGAAGACGCACCGCCTCTGAACGATGAAGTTATCAGCAAATTTTTGCAGCCAATTTCAAGAATAATTGAATAGCTAATCAAGATCCCAGCCGTTGGCCGTCGAGGCCGCCTGACTTAGTGCCCATGGATCTAATCCTATGGATAAATTTGCGGAAGAATAAAGGTTCCTTATTCTTGCGTATAATCTAGACGAGAATTAAAAATACTTAGCAGTTATGAGACGATATCTTTCACCCCCACTGAGTTAATGAATTCCGCGAGAAATGTTCAAAAACTGTCCCGTCTGTCCATAACAGAAGACGGTCGATATGTCGAACACCTGTAGCAAAATCTCATGTCTTGGTTTGCTATTTATTTTTATTTTATTAGATATAGTTTAAATGTGTAGATGTTGGTTAAATATACTTTAAATTGTTATAAAATTCTGCATCTCTCATAGCAAATATTATTTTCGTTTTAACTGATGCTCACAGCTAGAATTTTTTTGCATTACAACCGGTGTCGTTCAAAGCCTACTTATTTAAAGCGGGCGAATTTTTATATACTCTATATCTCGAAGAGGAATCGAGCAAAATATCAAGTGTGTTATATTTTTGGAAAGGTAATTTTAAATTCTTTTCAATAAATTAAAAATATACAGAGTGTCCCATATAAAAAATCAAATTTTCTGTGGATAATTCTTAAATTATTTATTTTAAAAAAATATACTTAAACCATTAAATTCTACGTAAAAAGGTGCTTTGGAAATGTTTTCATAAAAATACAAAATTTTCCATAGCAAAAAAGTTACAGCGATTTGTTAAAAATTCATATTTTTGAAAAACGCCCCGTAACTCCGAAACGATAACAGATATCGATATGCGGTTTTCACCATCATGTTTTTGACAAAAATTGAGCTCCAGACACCAATATTAGTTTTGGTCTATCTCCTATAGAAAAGGGTGTTTCCATTTAAAAGCGTCGAATTTGACCCACCCTGTACATTTCAAAATAATTTTAAATTATGCACATTGCCTCACTACATATAGCCACAAAAAAAATTGTTTCTACGTCTTTCCGTTTTCATATAATCAACAGAAGCGAATGGGGTGCGCCACCCTGTATATGATTTTACATTTTATAAAAAAATAATTTGAATTCATCCAATTCTAAGAGATAAAAATATAAAGGAAAAACATAATTTCATAAACAAATAAAGGAAAAACTATTAGGAACAACGTAATACAAATATACAGGGTGGTCCGAACTGTATTCCGGAAACTTCGGCAGCATATTCTGCAGATAAAAATAATTAATTAAAAAAGTTCGTATAAATGTATATCCTAAAATGCTTAGTTTTAGTGATACAGGGTGTAAAAATTTCATTTTTATTCCGATTTCATTTAAATAATTTCTGAAGCAACGTCAATATTTCGATGAAAATTGGTGTCTGGGAGTTTTTTAACATGAGAAATTTGATTTTGATGTCAATATGGCTCCTACTAGTAGAGGGCGCACCCACTTTAACTGTTTTGAAGCCTAATAACTTTTTGTCCGTACCTGTATAAGACTACCGAGCGAAAAAATATACATCTTTGTGACTTTTTACGTAAAAAATATCTCTTTGTAAAAATCGCTACGAGCAACCGTTCTTAAGATATTTAGAATGGAAATAGTCAATACATGTTATTATTGACGAAAAATAAACACGTTGAGTAGATAGTTAATTCACTGAAATAATAAATTTGGGATTTTTTTTATTTTTTAAATTAATCATAACGAAACATTTCAAATTTATTATTTCAGTCTAAAAACTATTTAGTCAACATGTTTAATTTATGTCAATGATGACAGGTATTGATAATTTCGATTCATTAATATCTCGAAAACCATTACTCGTAGCAATTTTTACCAAGAGACCTTTTTTCACGTAAAAAACGTCGTAAATGTACATTTTTTTACTCAGTAGTTTTATACGGGTACGGACGAAAATTTATTACTCCTCAAACCAGTTAAAAAATATGTAGGAGCCCTCTACTAGTAGGAATCATATTGAATCAAAATCAAATTTTTCATGTCACAACCCCCCCTCCCTTATTTCAGAAATTAGTTGGAAAAAATCGAAATAAAAATAGAACTTCTACACCCTGTATCTCCGAAACTAAGCATTTTAGGACATACATTTATACGAACTTTTTTTACCTATTTTTATCTGCAGAATACGCTGCGAAGTTTCCGGAGTACAATTCGGACCACCCTGGATCGTTTTTTTTGCAGAAAAAATATGATTAATTTAAAAAAATAAAAATTGCCCAAATTTTATTATTTCAGTGAAATAACTATCTCCTCAACGTGTTAATTAACAACGTTAATTAATTAATTTTTTTCCTTATTAATGGCATGTATTGACCATTTTCATTCTAATATCTTGAGAACGGTTGCTTGTAGCGATTTTTACAAAGAGATATTTTTTACGTAAAAAATCACAGAGATTTATATTTTTTCCCTTGGTAGTTTTATACAGGTACGGAAAAAAAGTTATTACGCTTCAAAACAGTTGTAGGTGGCGCCCTCTACCAGTGGAACTCATATTGACATCAAGCATTTTAGAACATACATTTTTACGAACTTTTTTACCTATTTTTATATGCAGAATATGCTGCCGAAGTTTCCGGAATACAATTCGGACCACCCTGTATACTAAAGTGGAGTTTTGAGAGTTTTAAACAAAAATTTTGTTTATAATTTATACATGATTATGTAGGTATTTTTGTGTACTACCCAAGATTCATAAGCTGAAAACTATAGTGGCTTATACAGTCCCACAACTTTATAAATTTAATATTTGAAAGTTGTAAAAAATCGATTCATCCCTGCTTTATATACAATAATGATGGATAAAAAAAGCTGCTTCAGAAATTTTAGGAACATATTTATTCAAAATAAATATTAAAGAAAATAAAATAAAAATATAAATAAACGGAATAATCGCCTAAACAAATGAATAAAAACACTATTAGAAACAATATAATACTAAAATAAAACGATATGGGCTTATGGGAGTTTCAAACAAGAAATAGCATGCTTATAAATCTAAATCAATAAAAGACCCAACTTTGCCTAAATAAATAAACGAAATCACTATTAGGAACAACATAATACAAAAATAAACTAAAATGGAAATTTCAGTTTGCTTTTAAAACTTTTGGGAGGTAAAAATATAAAGAAAAGACAAAATTGCATAAACAAATAAACGATAACAATATGAGGAACAACATAATACTAAAATAAACTAAAATGAAGTTTTGATATTTTCAAACAAAAAACATAACATGCTTTTAAAGCTTCTGGAAGATAAAAATATCAACAAAAGGCACAACTTTGCCTAAACAAATAAACGAAATCACTATTAGGAACAACATAATATAAAAATAAACCAAAATGGAATTTTCATAGTGTTCTTTTAAGACTTTTTGGAGGTAAAAATATAAAGAAAAAGTAAAATTGCATAAGCAAATAACCGATAACACTATGAGAAACAACATAATACTAAAATAAACTAAAATGGAGTTTTGATAGTTTCAAACAAAAAATAACATGCTTTTAAAGCTTCTTGGAGATCTGCTAAGTTTTTATTAGGTTTGAGTTGATAAACACTTCTGATTTTAACTGCAACTTCCTTATATATTCTCTTGGCTTCTTCCAAATTTCCATCTTGTATGAACCGGATGTCTTCCAAGGAAATCTGTCCTAATGTTAATATTATAGGTAAGTTGTGATAGAGAGGGTAGTCTTTCTCGCAAGCCTCACAAGTACAATTAAAAAAGTATTGTTTCTTTAGTTTAGCTTGCCTTTCTAATTTGGGCATAAGAGCATAATGGTATCTAAAAAAATCAAATTCAGGATACATTGATATTAATATTATTTGAATTTGTTCTCAGTGTTATATGTTACATTAATAATAATTCTTAAATTATTTGATCTATTTTTTTATAAATTTACATTTCTTACCCATAATTATCATAGCACTGTTGACCTTTTTTAATTAATTCTTCAGCTATAAGGATTGCTGTTGATCCATACGAGTACCGAACAACATTAGGGCAGCAAGAATGGTTAAACAAACTGAGGAAAGAATAAGCTCCTGTTCCTATAGAGTAAGGTTCTCCTGATCCTATACGTTCAGTAATCTGAAATGAGTAACTTTTAAGGGTACAAAAAAGATAAATCAATCATTTTAGTATTACTAAAGAATACAAGGACTTGTTGTATGAAGTGAACTATGTATAAACTTTATTACAACGATGATTTGTTCAGCTTTCAACTGTAAAAGCCTCAACAAGATCAAAATGAACCAGGAATTACGTTTAAAACAGTTAATTTTCTGCACTCAACCGTTTTAGCGTTTTCTTATGGAATTTCATAATTAATTTTTGACATTATACTATGATATGTCCTAATATATAGGCTTGGTGCATTTCAGTTGATTTCAACAAATTCCGACCGCAGCGCACTTTACGGCAGAAATCAGAAATTTTCAATATATAGTTCACGCCGTCATGTCGATCGCATTAAAATAATATTGAAATCGGGGTTTGGTCATAATATTTAAGTATTGTTACGGATTCCGTGGGTCCACTATTTAAACTCACGACAAAATACTTAACGAATTTATTTGTCTCACTCTGTACACACAACTTATACTATTTACAACACAATTTATGCAACTACTATTACTCTAACGGTATTTCGCGGTATTATCAAACTTCAGACTTCAAACTATCTTCAGACTTGTCCAACTGTCAAAGCGCGGGCCTTATATACCCCCTGGCGATGGTTTCTGGAATTTTCTAAAGAATTCTATAATTTTCTTTTACTTTCTGGCGAATGCGCCAGGTTCCTCAATGCACGTTGCGATTATTTAGCAGTATGCAGTTATGCAACCAGTAATACACCTTGACATTGCCCCCTTCTCAAATTTGATCGTCCCGATCAAGGTTTCCTGTCTGGTATCTCTCAATCGATCCAGATGAACTACTTTCATCTTACTTCTAGGGCTGCGTTGAATCCGGTACACAACATCATTTATCCTCTTGATGACTGTATAAGGACCTTCCCATGCTGGAGTTAACTTTGGGGACCTCCCTTTCTTGCGCTGTGGGTTATATAACCATACCATATCGTCCTGTTGAAATCCCGTAGAATTAGCTCTGAGGTCGTAACGAGCTTTCATCCGGTCACTGGCTAGCGTAATCTTACTTCTCACGGCCTTATGAATTCCCAATAACCTTTCCTTCAGTTCATCCGCGTAGTCCTCTACGTTCGTGGTGCTGTCGTCTGGTGATCCGAACACCAAGTCACAAGGCAACCGTAATTCTCGACCAAATAAAATCTTCGATGGTGAAAGTCCGGTGGTGTTGTGAACTGCACTTCTATATGCCATTAGGAATAGTGGTATATGCTGATCCCAATCTCTTTGATGTTCATCCACCATTTTCGAGAGATGTTCTTCAATGGTCTTATTGAATCTCTCGACCATCCCATCAGACTGCGGATGTAAAGCTGTTGTCCTAGTCTTGTGAATACCAAGCAGATCACACATCTTCTGGAACAGTCTTGACTCGAAGTTCCTTCCTTGGTCAGTGTGAAGCTCTAAAGGAATTCCAAATCTACTGAAGACATTATGACTAATACTTCAGCTACAGTCGATGCTTCTTGGTTTGGAATGGCAAAAACTTCTGGCCATTTACTGAAATAATCCATCGCCACTAAAACGTACTTGTTGCCCTTGTGCGTTTCAGGGAATGGGCCTGCAATGTCAACAGCGATTCTTTCGAATGGCAGTCCAACGTTATATTGTTTCATTTTTCCCCTAGATCGAGTGCTTGGTCCTTGGCTGGCTGCACAAATTTTACATTGTCGACACCATTTCTTGACATCTTCGCAATAATCCACCCAGTAAAAGCGATCTCTCAGCTTGCTCAAGGTCTTGTTTACCCCAAGATGGGCTCCAGTTTTACCACCGTGAATTTCTTCCAATACCTGGGTAACTTTCTTCCTTGGTACCAGTAACTGAGTTGTTACTGTGCTGCCATCCGCACTTTCCCATGTGCGCTTTAACAATCCATTCTCAATAACCAGTGAATTCCACTGAGCCCAGAGAGCTTTGAAAACGAGCCCTCTGTCCGCAATATCCTGCCACGGTGGTCTCTCGCCGTTACCTTCCTTGAGCCGTAGTATTGCTCCGATGTCTGGATCTTCCATTTGATCTTTCCTCAATTGTGTCGTCGTCCACTGTTCATCAGCTCCAAGCTTAAAACTCCTTATTCTGATAGTGCTTTCGCGATGTTTCATTTTCTTGTCCAAGGTAGCTCGTCGTCGATCTAGGTCGTTGTCGATAATTTGTACCCGTCCTACACGGCACCCAACGGTTTTCTCTAGTTTCCCGAACACAGTCTTCTTGGTATCACCAGGTATCATCACAATTTTCGATAATATTTCTTCCATATTTCCTGGTCTCTTCTCTTTAGATACAGAAAATTCCTCATTTCCGATTTTCAGGATGTTTCTATGGTGATCAAACGAAAAACCATGTTGACTGATCACATCCATACCCATGATAAAATCATCTTCAATGTCCGCCACTAAAACGCTATGCCGAAACTTCAAATTCCCTAACTCCAATTCCATGAAAGCCTCTCCCCGTACAACGGCCATTTCCCCCGTAACTGTACGTAAATACACTCTTCTTCTAAGAGGCATCATCTTCAATCCTCGCACTGAGTTAGTCTGCACCAACGATACCATAGCGCCTGTGTCCACAGTCATTCGATTTCTTCTACCATTGACCTTCCCGTTGATCACCAAACTGTCAGCGGTTTTTCCTAGACTCCTAACGGAAAACATCCTAGGGGCTCTGTTTTCTTCAGCCAATACTCGCTCATTAGTGTTGATTTCCGGGTGCCTATGTTCTCTCGATGGTAAACGGAATCGCATTTGGACGCGGCAATCCCGTTTGATGTGGCCATTCCTGCCACATCTATAGCAACTTATGTCCTGGGATCTTCCGATGTGCCGATGTTCTCTGGATGGTGAATGGAATCGCATTTGGATGCGACAATACCGTTTGATGTGGCCATTCCTGCCGCATCCATAGCACCTCATGTCCTGGAATCTTCTTTGGTTCTCTGTCTGGGTGTTGTTGACTTACTTGTTTATTAGTAGCTCACATAGTTTGTCGAATTTTCTACACATCTCCTCCAAACTTCTGTGGGTACTCTCGGGCTGTTCCTCTACCGTTACCGATCTTATCTTCGGTCTAGGGATGGCGCTAAAAGCAGCTTCGATTTCCAGCGCCCTGACCAGTGCTTCGCTGCTGGTAGAAAATCAGGATATTTGCAGCGCCCTCTGCGCCTGATAAAGCACTGAGCAGCGAGTTCCTCCCTAAATCCTTCCGGTGCTTCAGGATACGCTAGGTGTACCAGCCGACGTAAGTCTGCTTCAAATTCCTGCAGACTCTCTCTGGACCTCTGCAGGCGTGTCTTGATCTGGGCCTGGTAAAGTTGGCGTCGATGTTGGTCGCCATATCTTCTGTCCAGTGCAGCGACCAAAGTTTGGTATTCCTGCTGTTGGGTTGCAGGAATAGTTTGCAACAGTTCCAGGGCAGGGCCACGCAGCGCGATGACAAGTGCCGCTGCTTTCTCCTGGTCAGTCCATCCGTTGGCAGCGGCGGCTGCTTCAAACTGACGGTGGTACATTGTCCATGTCGTTTGTCCATCGTAGGTCGGGACCTTAAGGTTCGCTGTTCCTTGAACGCCAGGTGTCTTTACTTGTACCTTGGTCTTCTGTAGGTCCATCTCCAATTTTTCTATCTTCTGCTGAAAGCGTTCCTCAAGATCTTCTACGGTTTCTTGAAGTTGATTTTCCTGCCGTTTTCCAGGTCTTCAAGATTCTTCTGTAGTCGAAATTCCTGATTTTCCAAAGTTTTCTTAAGACGGTCCTGATCTTCAAATTTTTCTTTCTGGCGACGCACTTCTAAATCTTCAACAATTTTCTCCAACCGTTCTTGTCTAATTCCTTGATTTTCTAAAATTTTCTGAATACGGTCCTGTTCTTCTTGTCTTTCTTTTTGACGTCGCTCCTCCAAACGAATTTCCAAATTACCCAGTATTTTCTCAAGCCGGTCCTGTTCTTCTTGTTTCTCTTGTTGTCGTTGAACTTTCAAATCTTCGAAAATGTTCTCAAGCCGGTCCTGTTCTTGTTGACATCGTAGTTTTTCCTCTTCCTTTTCTCTTTCTAATCGGGCTCGCTCTTCTTTTCGTTCTTTACGGAGTCTTTCTTGTTCTTCTGCTTTCTCCCTTCTCATATTCTCCAGAAACTCGCCTAATAGTTTGCATACTTCCTCCATTTTCTTCGCTTGTTCCCTTGTACCAACCATAAAAATACTCTAATCCGGTCTAAAAATCTTCCAATCCACTTAATTTCTTCTTAAAATCCTCTTGAATCGCACTTCCGACACCAATTGTTGCGGATTCCGTGGGTCCCCTATTTAAACTCACGATAAAATACTTAATGAATTTATTTGTCTCACTCAATTTTTGATACCCCTATATACATTTTAGGAAGCAATGAATAAAGTGTTTTAGTAAAGTTTATTTCTCCGGCTTGAAACTCAGCACAAGAATTAATTCTGAAAAGACATGTACAAGGTGTTGACAAACTTTTTTATTATGGCCTGCATATTTAAATATCTTTAAATATCTCAAAAACCAAAGCTATTAAACATATTAAACTCCTATAATAAATGCTTTATTTTATGTCCAAGAATCCAAAAATTAAATAAAATACCAGGTGTTCCATAAGAAAAAATATAACTTTGATATAGATCTTAGTTCTGACACACCCTGTACATATCAAAATAATTTTAAATGATGCACATTGCCTTTCTACATCTACCAATAAAATATTTTGTTTCTATATCTTTCCGTTTTCGTATAATCAACCGAGGCGAATGAGGTGCGCCACCCTGTATAGTAACTCCACAAACAAAATATATTATTTTTATTTAACCTTTCGAGGGCTGTCATTTTTTCGGTAAGCATTTTAGGGCATATGTTCATAGGAACTTTTTGTTTTATTTTCATCTATAGAATTGTCGACCGAAGTTATATACACTATTTTTTGACTATACACGATTTTTGAATTCAGAGTTATAATAGCGCGACCACTGTCGAACACTTATTTCCACTTATTTTTATCAAAAGTGCAAGTGTATCTAACTTGCACTAAAAAATTTACAAGCTATCGGGAAAATCACGACTCGTTAATAAATAAATAAAGTATCACGAGACGTAATTAAATCGTTGATCAAGTTACACACTTGCCTAAAATTTTAAGTGCTGATTTGATCGACCGGTCGACCTCGACGAATCTGCTATATCCCCTTCCACGTCGCTTAGTAATGTGCACAGTTTCTCAGATTATTTCATACGTTTGGCAATGTTTCTACTGTTCTCTCTTTGTTCAGTATATTATAAACGCATTGTACTCTTCTTATATATGGAAATCTCGACCCAAGACTAACCTTTGCCAGCCCTTAGTATTCTTGTAGGTGTAATACCTACATAATTACTATTTCTGTTGCACAAGCATATAAACATTGATGGAATACTGCACCCCTGTCTTTTTCCATTCATGAGTAATATATTTTTACAACATTTATTACGTAATATCTTATTAAAATTAATATTTGACTTTAACATCTATCTCACCAACTGAATTAATTATACTAATTTATAACGTATAATCATGCAGAATGCCAATTTTACCTCATGAAAGTTGCACGGTGCTGTCTGTCTGTGGAACAATACTAACTCCTTGAAAATGTCTTCGTATTTCGAATCTTGTTCATCACCGAAAAAGCTAGTGAAGTGTTTAACCAAGTAAAATAACGTTGCGCTGGTTGCAGCCCTGTTAAACAAATCTGCCATGCATCTTTTTTCAGTGTTTCCAACTAAATTATGAATCTCATCGTATCTATAAGAATAATAACAAATTTACCACGTAAAGTTTGAACTTAGATACAACGAATAATTATACCGTGTGGTGTATCGGAAGTAGGGAATGCAATCCCGCACCAAAATCTCGATCCCACAAACCCGCGGGATTAAAGCAATCAATCCCGCGGATCCGCAAAATTGCGGGACTGTAAACAATAAATGCTCCTCTTTTCTCTCTCCGATTTCGAGATGCGGTTTGGACCAGGTTTTAGACGCATCTATTGTGATTAAGATGCTATGTGGTTTTCGAAAATATATTTAGCGAATTCTCGTATACAGGGTGTTTTATAATAGTATACAAATTTGGTCAAGAATCTTTTTTACCGAAAATTTACAGTTTTTGAAAAATCGAAATGTACTATGTACGACTAATCTGTATTGAAATTAGAAAAAAACAATTTGGTGTTTTTTTTTAAATTTTTTGTTTTAAGAAAAAATATGCATTTATAGTCTACACTATTTGGTCCTAAATGGTACAAAAGGCATTGTACATTTTGCATAGACCCACAATATATTGATATAGCGTGTATCTTAAACTAGCTGTACAGAAATTTGGACCGATGAATACAGGGTTTTCAAAAAAATTTTTTGTTAGTTATCTGCTTTTAGATACACTCTATATCAATAATTTTTTGGCATAGGTATGCAGAATGTACAAAGCTTTTTGTACCATTAAGACCATCGTATGACTAAAAATGCATATTTTTCGAAAAAACGTCGTATTTTCCTTAAAACAAAAAAAAATAAAAAACCGATCGATTTTTTTTTCTAATTTCAATACAGATTAGTCGTACTTGATAAAAATTTCAATTTTTTAAAAATTGTAAATTTGCGGTAAAAAAGATTCTTAACCAAATTTTCACACTCTTATAAATCACCCTGTATACGAGAATTCGCTAAATATATTTTCGAAAACCACATAGTATCTTAATCACAATAGAGGCATCTAAAACCTGGTCCAAACCGTATCCCAAAATCTTTTTTAGTATCAAGAGATATTCAACTTTAAATTAACCCTAAAATTTTGCTTCTCCCGATAATTATGTCCGGCAGTTTATTTGACGAAATTGTCCACAAGTACTAGTTAAACGCTTTTATTCACTTACGCACATACGCCAGAAAGAATCTATTAAAGGAAAGGAATCTCAAAGGGATCCCGCATTTGCGGGACTGCATTCCCTAATCGGAAGGCGGGAAATACCATGTAAATTTTGATAAAGTCAAATATCTCCCCAGATGATTTTATGCAAAAATTGCATTAGACTTTTTTGAAGAGGCGTGAAAGTTGTACTGTCGTCTAGAATTTCGTTTTATTTGGAATATGCATCTAAAAGTTATTTGCAAAAATTTACCTTCAAATTACTAAAAATTTATAATACGGCCCAGAGAATGCTACAATTAAAATACCAGTAAAAATATGATTTTATCACAGCGGGAACACTATTTATAGTAAAATGTGGTTTAACTATTGCAATTTGTTCAGAAGTAGCAAAATTCATAATTATTTTACACAAAGAGTTTTACACTGATTACTCTGTTGTACCCAAGTCCTTCAAATTTTTGTAAACAAAATGTGACATCGAATTTGACAATTACTGTCCTCAATTCACGCAGTTGTGCAGCTCAGAGGTGCAACTTTGTTCAAGTTAGCAACCGATCGTTTAGAAGCGATGTCAAAGCCAGATCGGTACTATGTTCATTGCAAAACTATTGTCGCTCAAATGCTGCGAAATATGGTATCACTATCACACTCTTGCACACGTGTCCGACACGGTCTAGACTGTCGCCTCGCCACAAATCGAGAAATCAGAATATAGATGTTGCTACTGAACATAGTGCCTCAAGCTACAAAATTACTTTGCTATCGCTTTGAAACATGAACAAAGTTGCACTCCTGAACTTTTCAAGAACACGATACTCTCACTCCATTTAATTGAGTCATAAAGTTCAGAACTGTTCCGCGCCATATGGAGGCACCAGGCTATTGCGCACAGCTCCTTTCAGAACCGCTCTGAGTAGCCCAGGGCGTAAAGCTCTGGAACCTGAAATTCGCGAATGGAGGACAGCAAATGACAATCACATTTTTGCTGGTATTTTAATAATTGTTGTTTTCTCTGGGCCATATTATAAATTTTACTGATTTGAAGGTATTTTTTTTGTACACAAATAACTTTTAAATGACTATTCCAAATGAAACAAAATTCTAGACCAAAGTAAAAAATTATTTATATTATATTATATACCGATTGGGACAGGTCAACTCTGTGTATAGGATTCTAACGTGTAAGACAGTGATGTAGGCAGCTTAATGGCAAATCAAATGTATTAAAAAGAGAAAAAAGTTGGGTGGGTATGGGTGGGTACATTTCTTCTGAGCGGTATTGCCGGATTTTGCATCAAAATTTCAAACCGCATAAGTAGACGTTTCAAAAAAATGTTTCATCGGGGTTGGATCTGGATTTTTGACAATTAGTTATTCATTTTACTACAACTGTAATATATTACATTTAGCTTAGATATATTATCTTCATTTCAGTAATATACATGAAAGTTTTTAACATAGTTTATTTTATTCTAATTTATTTAAGGCTAAGATAATAGATTTACATGCAATTACATTACATTACATTACTATTAACATGCATTTCTTATCCTTTTCCCGCAAAAATAAATCGCCAAAAAGTTAAAAATATTTTAACTTATTTGCGATGACGCAAAATCATAGAAATCGAATATTCGCAGTTATCAGTATGGAACAAATTGACGCGTAAGAAATTTAGGCGGAATTTCGCTTTTCCGCGCTCGTGAGGAACTGATGTTGATCTTTCCAAAATTTATACATGTGATTTCCTATGTCCCGTGTTCAGATGCACCACACGGTATACCTATACAGGGTGCTACAAATTCGGGGTAATAAACGAGCATTGGTATCTCGGTAACCGTAAGAGATATGAACATTGTTAAATTGGAGCAAGGATGTGCTTTAAAGGATGTTCATCAAGATGCCATTAAAAAAGTTTTTAAAATTTCAAGGATTGCTGAGTTTTTTGGAAAAAACGGATTTTTTTGAAAATCAATTTTCTTTTTTCCTTTAGAAAATCAAAAAACTAATTGCACATTCTCGTAGCCACTTTATTAGGACTATCTGATAGTATTTTTAGATTTCCAAATTAGCTGATAATTTGTGAGATACAGAGGCCAACTTATTTTTTTTTAAATACGGACCTGCATTTTTTATTTCAGGTTTTCAAAGAACTCTATCTCCTAAGTACAATGATTTGCCACACTTAATTTTTTTTTGACATTTCAACACAATTTATTTAAACTAATTTCAAGTCCGGCTCTGTTTTTTAAATATTTAATCTACTCTTCGTTACAATATTGATAAGCTTTCAAACTTAACAATGACGTGGGGTATTGAATACGGAAAATCAAATGCAATAAAATAATAAAAATAATGTAAATATAAGTATAAATAATAGTAAAGTGAAATCAACACATTTCAACATTTACAATAAAAAGTACAAAATTCGGAAGTATAAGAAGATATATATCTTCAAAGAGCTATAAATAAAATTGAACGAAAAATAAATTTCTGCAATAGGGAGGGTGGTAACCCTTTCGAACATGTAAAGTATTAGAAACTCTTGTTTGTAGAAGTTGATTTATTTATAATAACCACGAGTAATTTTACGCATATTATTAGATCGTACACTGAGAATTTCAAATTCACAATAAAAAAATTAAAAATAATATCTTTAAATTGCTGCCCTGGATATTATTTGAATCTTTCAATTGGCTCGATTTTCCTTATTTAACGTTAATTAGCGCTGATCAATATTGTTGCGATGAATATAATCAGATTAAATAATTTTAAAAAAATTGTGGCATATCATTGTACTCAGGAGACCGAGTTCTTTCGAAACCTGAAATAAAAAATGCAGGTCCGTATTTAAAAAAATTAAGTTGGGCTCAGTATCTCACAAATTATTAGCTAATTTAAAAATCTAAAAATACTATGAGATAGCCCTAATAAAGTGGCTATGAGAATGTGTAATTAGTTTTTTGATTTTCTAAAAAGTAACGACAGGAAAAAATTAAATTGATTTTCAATAAAATCGTCTTTTCCAAAAAACTCAGCAATCCTTGAAATTTTTAAAACTTTTTTAATGGCATCTTGATGAAAATCCCTGGCTATGAGAATGTGTAATTAGTTTTTTGATTTTCTAAAAATTAACGACAGGAAAAAATAAAATTGATTTTCAAAAAAATCGTCTTTTCCAAAAAAACTCAGCAATCCTTGAAATTTCAAAACTTTTTTGATGAAATCTTGGTGAACATCCCATGGCGCAACTTTTCCCTAATTTAAACATCTTCGTATCTATTACGGTTTCCGAGATAACAATGCTCGTACCTCGAATTTGTAGCACCTTGTATAGGTAAACAATATACAGACATAGTTATTCTAAATCCATACTTTGTATTTTAACAAGTAAAACAAACATAGAGGCATTGAAGCTAAGAGAAAAAAACGGCGCATGCAGATTCGGCGTGGGGAGAATGGGAAAACACCAGAACACATCATCTCTGAGTGCGCAGAGACGACAACCATTCGTGCCCTAAACTTTGGTACGACTGATACCGGAGATGGAGAACTACCCGCTGTAAAACAATCTCAGATAATGACTTTTGTCAGGGCCATGGGACTGTATGATAAGTTATAACTCAAGAAAGGGAGATACCAGTGGCGGCTCGTCAGGGTAGGCAAGGTAGGCGGCGCCTACCCTAAGATTTTCGCAGAATTTAAGCGACTTACTACATTACATTATTTACTATTAATGTTGCCCATGCATAAAAATACTGTGAATACACGGAAGTGTGTTTTAATAATCAATATTATTTTAATATTTGTGGTCTTGTATATTAACATATTCACTATCGCTGGCGTACGCTGACTGTACCGCTGCGTTAGAAAACAAAATAATTTTGACCGTTGGCGTGCCTTTGTTTGGCGATTTCTACATCGCCTACTAGCAGAGTCAATGCACGACGTACGGCAGTCTTCTGTCTCTGTCTAACTCATCGTGCGGTAGCGATGCGACACGTAAGTCGGAGTTGTATCGTACGGGGCTTAGGCGAAATCTCCGGTCGCCTTCGCATGAAGTCGTGGAGGCTCGGTAGGTAGGCTTAGAAATGAAGGAAATATTCCCGAAGGAATAGGAATAGGAATATTCATAAGGAGATATATCACATTTCGTTAAGGGGATATTTCATATGATTCATTATACGTAGCATTTAAAACGTTTATATGAAAATTCAAAAAACGTTTAAAGCAAATTGGAAACATTTTTCGGGCTTGTCCGAGATTATTAAAAATTATATAACGGGTTGTATTTAGAACACACCACAGAAATAAAAGAATCCGAAATAAAAAAGCGCGTTATTTTATTCGGTGCAAGAAGACGATACAACAAGATATTACAGAAAAGTCTCTGTGCTATTTCAATTCGATATGTTAATAAAAGCGGCTAAGTCAACTATCTTTGCGAATTTTATATTATGAAATATTAGATAACATTGTTGTACATTTAGAAATAAGGTTTGCAGATAGCTACTCGCATGTCTCAATTATTTTTATTTATCGCTTGCGGATCCGAAATTTAAAGAATCCTATAAAAAATTTCCAACGCATTTAACATCTGATTTAAGAAACTTGTTATATTGATACATTTCTTCCAACGCATTTAATAGTGATTTAACAAACAAAAAATTTTATTGGCCAACATAAATTAATGAATAAATTGCAGGTATTAATAATAGATATGATAATTTCGTTTATAAAATAATTTCGGGAGAATAATCCTGGAAATATATTTCCAGAGGCTTTCAAATTGTTTGTTTTGTTTGTTACTACACCATTTACAAGTACTTGGGTTGAGAGACATTTTTCATGTTTCAAATGCATTCAAATTTATAGTAGAGATTCCATGAAAAATAAACGTTTATCGCCACTTGCCTTACTTTCAATCTAAAAAGATATTTTCACAGCTCTTCAACAATCTGATATAATAATAAATATTTTTTCTTTGTTAAGAGACCGACTCGTCAATTTAATATATAAAACATAATTCTTCTTTCCCTCAGTACTACCAATTTTTAAGTTTGCGTAAATAAATAAAAATGAAATAAAATTCTATGATGTACTCCATAGGGACTCCATAGTAATAGATAAAAAAAATAATAGATAAAATAGATTAATAAAAACTATACTTGTACATTATGTCAATCATTATGTCATTACGTTGAATGCTGTTATTTTTGCTCTAGTTTTGTCCTAAATATTTTTGAGCTGTTTTTAACCCAGAGATAACATATATTTACAAACTGGGCTAGGGTATTATGTAAATTAGGGGAGGGGGCAAATAGACGCAACTAAAATTTTGTCGCCTACCCAGTCACACGGATCACGAGCCGCCACTGGGAGATACAATAGATTTATAAGGTTCTCCGTGATTAAACTTCCTCACAGACATTCTACCAGAGTACCTAAACCGACGAGTAGCGACAGTTCCGTTTTCAATTTTCTTTGCGGCTGCGCGAAATAAGTAGGTTATCTGTCATACGAAGAAGCGAAGTTGCCACTGTTGCCATTTAACAAATATCTCTATATACTTTATTTCAAGTATACCTCAGGTAACGAATCGTTTTTTTAATTATTTATTACCAGTAAGATATTTTATACATTCAAATTTAGAAATAAGGATAAAACAAAACAAAAAAGATATGTATAAAACTTTATAACTAATTCCACTTCAAATTGTGAGCAGTGTATACCATGTTTATAGAACCACTTCATAAGTTGTGCAGTTAAATACGTAGTCATCTGTCAAACACGTCAAAAGAGAGAGAAAGAAAATTTGGTCCCACCACATCAAAAGAGCCGACGGTTTCTGTCGCTACTCGGCGATCTACGTACTCTTATTCTACTACTACAAAAAGGTAGTCGTCTTAAACAGTTGATAAAGAGACGCAGCTTTGTCAAGTAGAAATAAAATTGAATCAAGCTACAAATAAAAAAATAACGTTACCTGTCACTTCGATATACACCACTTCCGTCTGTCGTAGCTAACTGATCTAAACAATCGTATTTATCTCTAACAACAAGGGCAATTTTCATCGACATCAGTTCCAAATCATTTATTTCATAATCTTTCATAGTCAACAATATAGGACACTCATACTTATGATACATCTTAGCATCTTCTAAACACTTTTCATTGCAGTATAATGTTTGAGTGCACTTCTCACAAGGTATCAAGTTGTAACACAATTTAAGACAGTGGTGACAATGTGTAAACAATTTCTCTGTAAGTAGATAAACAGGTTTCTGTTATACAGGGTGAATCTTAAATAAGTGCAAATATTTTAGGGGTAGCATATTTCTACTAGTTTAGGGGTATTTTTTTCGCGATAAGAAGACTTTGAAAATTTGGAATTTTTGATTTCGTTTTTAATTAAAAAACAATTTCTTGAAAATATCGTCGGTGAAATGTGATAAATGCTAACTCCATTATTCCTAATTTTACTGGAGAGCAAAAAAAACGGTACAAAAAAATATGTACACATGTAGGAAGTATATTCATGCGTTAATATGATAAAGAGATAAGAATTGCTTTTGCTAACAATAAAACTCAATATTTCGTGTTACTTTATTTTTTTTTTGAGACACAATAGGGAGATAGCAGATATTCGTCTTGCAGAAATAAAAATATATTTCTGGAGATAGCAACCTTTATTGTTTGAAATTTTGAAAATGGAATTTTATATTACCCAAACATATTTAGAAATAATTAATTAAATTTAAAAAATATGATATATTTATAATATCGTCGGTCTGGAAGCAAAATAGACAAGACCAAAAACGAATACATTTTTAATGAACTAAAATAGCGCCATTTTGGACTTAATGAATATGAAAATAATTTACAAATTAAACTTACAGTTCTTAGAAGATATGGTAGATTTTTCCTGGATATACCTAGATGTATATTCTGGAAGAAATCTAGTACCTACACCACTTGCAAATTAGTCGAATTTTTATTGACAGGATGCTTAGCCTAATTTTTTTACGAGAACGGTAGCAGGCCGAACTTGGAAAACAGTGCAGTCGTTAAAATAGTTGCGTGACTTTATTAATTTTTTATTATTTTTCTTCTAAGTTTTTATTTTTTATAAAGATTATGTCTCATTTACGCGGAAAAACGTTGAAAAAAATAAAATTGATTAGGTACTTTGGAAATTTTTGCACAAATAAGTAATATCATTTAAAATAACTTCGTTTCTCCCCTTACCCCTTACGGATACCCTGTATTTACAGAACGGATCGACGCAGAGTCGGACTGGCCATATAGTCAGATTGGCGATTGCCAGCCGGGCCCCAGCCTTCGCGGGCTCCCCTAATAGTTCAATATTTATTCTTAAATAGAAATGAAACAGAAAAAAGTGACCGTGATATTCTGAGGTTATCCCCAAAACGTTTTTTTTTTAATAACAATATTTGCATTGTATTTTGGTTAACCTTGCATTACGGGTAGTTTCCTGATTTCTATATACAGGGTTGTTCACCACAGACGTCACGGAGTGACTAAACGATCAGATTTTTACAAATGGTAAGTTTTGGTTTCGTTGAAGGACTATTAGAGCTACAAATTAAAAATATTTTTACAAGATACAGTGTGTCCCAAATATGTAAAAAATATTACAGTTGTATTCTTTTAAATGGAACACCCTGTATATTATTCTATTTTTGGATTCTACGATTGAAATAAAGGTAAATTTGATTAAGGTTTATCGCACTTAAACCTTACCGTTCTTTAAATATTTTCAATTTTATTAAATTGCAGTAAAAATTTTAAGGCTTCATTTCTCCAAGGGTCTCAAAGTTTTTAATACTAAATATTTACTGAAGATTATTTATTGATCATATATAGTGTTGCAATAATAAAAATTTTACTACCTAATACAGAGTGTCCAAAAATTTATATTATATTATTACTAGCTTTAAACGGCAATAACTTGTTTAATTTAAATAAAACATCCTGTATATTTTTTTCGTGAATCAGATGCACAATTTAATTGTCTATCACATTTTATTATACGTTTTTTTTTACTTATCTCTTCAAGTTTTCGTAGAAAATGCATTTTCTTATAATTTAGACCTGATTTATGACTATACCATGAAATATTGATATTTACATTTCAGATTTTTTTTAAAACAACATATATATACAAAATGTACAGGTGGTAAATACTGCAAGCCCAAAAAAAAGATATTAAGTATACAAAAAACTATTTAAAACTTTGTAAAAGTGTATACTAATTAAGTATACCACCATTATTTCCGAGCAAAAATTAGTTAATTACATACTTTTAAATTGTTTTAATTAATAATTTATTCTAAATAAATGTGGATTTGGCTCAGAAATCAATATAATAATAAGTTATGAAAATGAACGTCTCTGTTTTTATAAATAAGCATTCTTCAAAAAATTAAATAAAATTTATAAGGTGTTACTTTTTACCACACTGTCTAATCAGAAACTAATCTAAAGAACTGTGGTCTAATACACAGACAAAATTCAGTTTTTTAGTATTTGGAGCAATTATTATTAATCAACGTAAACAGTCAATAATTAATGTAGCTAACAAAACATATTTAAACTTTTTTTTTATTTTATAATGAAATAAGCGAACTATATCGACAATATTAGTATCTGTATTCTTTGAAAATTTGTTACGTTTAAAAAATAATCTAAAATGTCAATATTCCATGGGTATAGTGATAAATGAGGTCTAAATTATAAGAAAATGCGTTGTCTACGAAAACTTGAGGAGATAGGTAAAAAATGGTATAATACAATTTGATAGACAATTACATTATGCATCTGATTCACGTAAAATATATAGGGTGTTCCATTTAAATTAAACAAGTTATTGCCGTTTAAAGCTAGTAATTATTTAATATAAATTTTTGGACACTCTGTATAAGGTAGTAAAATTTTTGTTATTGCAACACAATATCTGATCAATAAATAATCTTCAGTAAATATTTAGTATTAAAAGCTTTGATACCCTTGGAGAAATGAAGCCTTAACATTTTTACTACAATTTCATAGAATTGAAAATATTTCAAAAACGGTAAGGTTTAAATGTGATAAACCTTAATCAAATTTACCTTTATTTTAATCGTAGAATCTAAAAATAGAATAATATACAGGGTGTGCCATTTTAAAAAACACAACTATAATATTTTTTACGTATTTGGGACACTCTGTATCTTGTAAAAATATTTTTAAATTGTAGCTCTAATAGTCCCTCAATGAACCCAAAATTTACAATTTGTAAAAATCTAATCATTTAGCTACAATACTCCGTGTCGCATGTGGTGAACAACCCTGTATAATAGAGAAAAACTGACCAAAACGTAAGGCGAAAAAATATGCAAAAAAAATCCACCTGGGCCCCTCTAACCTAGTCGGACCCTGGATCGACTTACTGTACTAAAGAAACATACAAGTAAAGAATTCGCGTATTTGCTTCAGCGTGATCGTTAACGGAAATTACGGAGATAGCAGCATTTCGGCGTCTATTTCAGATCACTGGGAGTTAGCAGATATTATTGAGTTAAAATAACATTTTTTTTGTAATAATTGTAAAGAATTTAGCTGCTTTCCATATTTATACAGTATTTTTTTCTCTTTCTAACGGTATAAAAAAAGCTTATTAACGTAAAAAATGGAGTTAGCAGGTTATCACGTTTCACTGACGATATGACAACATAGGTAGTAGATTAAATTTACAAGAAAGAAAACCCAGAAAAGATTTAGCGATTCCTAAAATTTAAGCAAAAAATATTTTTTTTTTAATTTTCAAATTAAAATAACTCGGTTATTTTGGACGTATTTGAAAAACGATAAAGAGAAAATAGTTTCTTTTATCGAGATCTACCAGCCCTGAAAATATTTGCACTTATTTAAGCCTCATCCTGTATAATACATACAATATTAAAATAACCGTTCATAACTTTATAGCCAATATCGGTATAGAACAATCTCTATAAGACTAAAACGACATCTACACTATTCGTGAAATTCTTCGCGTAATACTTCTAGAAGTTGGAAACCATTTTTTTTTGCAAAAAAGCTGAAATTATCAATACAGGGTGGACCATCGAAAACGTCCCGCAAGGCATAACGGCCAGGGTATTATTTTTTTCAAAAAATCCAAATACACGTCAATTTTGTTTGTGAGGGGGACAACTTTTGTCCCAAAAATGATTGCAAAATCTTCAACTTTTTTCAAATGGGAAGGGGGGTCAAGTGGCACTGCAATGAAAAGAGCTTTCTATTCTCTATAGAGAAATTTGGAGTGTTATATTTTTGTTATTTTTAGCTCTATTTTCATAACTTTTTGTATATAATTATGTAGAATGTAGAATGTAGAATGTTTAGAAGGGGAGTTAATCACCGCGACCTTATAGATCTATTGTGTGTTCCCCTTTCTTGAGTTATAACGAGTTATAACTCATCATACAGTCTCAGGGCTTTAAGAAAAGCCAGTATCTGAGACGGCTCCACAGAGGCCAGCTCTCCATCCTCGACATCAGACGTGCCAAGGTTCATAGCACGAATGGTCGTCGTCTCGGCGCACTCAGTGATAAGGTGTTCTGGTGTTTCCCCATTTTCCCCACAAAATCTGCATTCGCCGTTGTTTCTCAGTTTCAGCCTACTGAGGTGTTCGTTGAGGAGACAGTGTCCTGTTAGAAACCCCGTGACAATCCGAAGAATGTTTTTACTTAAATCAAGGAAAACCTTTGATTTTTCTTGGTCATAAGTTCTGAGGAACTTTTCGAGTGTCTTAGACCGTTGGAGGACACCCAGTCCAAGTTACGGATGGAGTCTTCCAGATTCTTCAGTTCCGCTTTCAGTTGGTTCCCGTTTGGAAAACAGAACGGTTCTGGTCCTGTTAGTGGAGTGTTCGCTCCTTTTCTAGCTAGATCATTTGCTTGTTCATTGCCTTCTATCCCTTGATGAGCAGGCACCCAGAGTAGGAGGACTTTATTTTCTTTGCCTAATTTGTTGAGCTTCTCTAGGCATTCTTTGACCAACTTCGAATTGATGGTTACTGAGTTGATCGCGTTAAGTGCTGCTTGACTATCGGATAGGATGGCAATTTCCTGTTTTCGATAGTTCCTATCCAAGATAAATTGTACGCATCTTTCGATAGCGCAAATTATAATTATATATAATTATATGAACTTTAATTCGTAAACTCAGTGTTTTATAAACTTTAGTATTTGGCATATTATACAGTGTTAAACGAGGGGTTGTTTTTTTACCTTAACTTTAAAGCACCCTGTGCAATAATTTCGTGTGTAAATTTTTCTAAAATATAATTTTACGGTTAGAACCATGTCTCCTGAGCATTTTGTTTTTTGGATCATGTCAATACATGCCTTGGTTAAATTTTAAGAGCGAAATAAACTTGCTACCAACAATTTGCAAGAGTCATTGGAAAAATATGAAGGATTGAAATTTGAAAAGTTTATTTAAACATTTATCAGAGTAAATGATAAGGATAAATTCCTTCGACCAATTTGAGTTTTTTTCTTATTATTTCTAGATGTTTACGTATTTTTTCACTTGCCACAAGAATTCAATTCATTTACTACAGGATTTTCCCTCTGCCTCTTTTTATTCAAAACGGAACCAGTTTCGCGAAATTTTGCTACTAACTCGCGAACAATTTTGCCATAAAGGTGTTTGTCAGGATGGCGTTCATTGAATATCTGCGCAACTCAATTGCCACATTCATTATTTTTAAAATAAAGTTCGATTATTTCTACTTTTTCTGCAAGTGAGTACTCCATAATTATTAAAAAGTTTAACGATATTGAGAAGAACTTCAACGCATAAGTCACTGAACATCTATCTAGCAACTACCGCACCTGATCGTTCAACCTTGTGGCAAGTGAAAAAATGCGTAAACATCTAAAAATAATAAGAAAAAAACAGCAAATTGGTCGAAGGAATTTATCCTTATCATTTACTCTGATAACTGTTTAATTAATTTTTCAAATTTCAATCCTTCATATTTTTTCAATGGCTCGACCGATCTTCAAAAACGAAGCCGGAAAGTATAGAGAATAGAAAGCCCTTTTCATTGTGGTATCACTTGACCCCCCTTCCCATTGGAAAAAAATTGGGGGATGACACCCCCATATATATAGAGGGTTGAAGATTTTGCAATCATTTTTGGGGCAAAAGTTGTCCCCCTCACAAACAAAATTGACGTGTTTTTGAATTTTCCGAAAAAAAAAATTACCTTGGCCGTTATGCCTTGCGGAACGTTTTCGATGGGTCACCCTGTATATAGTTCACGCCGCCGGCCGCGCCGTCATGTTGATCGCATTAAAACAATATTGAAATCGTGGTTCTGTCATAATATTTAAGTATTTTGGTTTTTGGCTAGTGCAGTTATTGAAACACTCAGGTACGAGGTTTGTGTAATATAACGCTGTTTCGGGTAGTAAAAAATAATAAAAAGAATTCGAACTAGGCGTCGTGTTGTGTTCTGACAATTTCTAATGTTAATAAAATTGCCGAAAAAAATGTTAACGCGTAAAGGAGATCGTAATTAGGGCGTTGTTAGGTGTAATAACATTCAATAACTCAATTTTTTCGGATATTCAATTCTCCCGAAACAACATTTTATAGCTTCATATAGTTTCTCACACCGATTTGATGAAAAGCAAAAATGAATTCAAGCAGTTCGACGAAAAAAATGAGTAAACAAAGTGCTCGTTACATAATCAAAAAATTAAATAGACATATGTCTACTAGATAAAACATAATTTGCAATATTAATGGTATACTTTTTTTAATCAACTAGTGATTAAATGTTTTATGAACATCTTCTAAAAATATAATTATATGTACCTTTAAAAAATTATGCCCCACTAGCAAATCCGGTGATTAAAACTATGCTCGTTACCCTAGTTGAACTCATCTAAAAAGTTTATTTAACTGAAATAATAAATTATAATACAAGTTAGACTTTCTGAAGATATCAAAATATTTACTTTTTTATTTTTACTTCTCGCTATTTAAACCCCTGTATTTGTATGTATGAGTTGTTTAGGATATTCTTCGATGGTGGCAGCACCGGAGGAGAATGTACCAAGCCCATACTCTTTTTTTTGTGATAACATGTCTTTTCTGTTGTTTTTTTTAGTTTTGGGTTGATATAATAAGCCTAAATGACGTTAATATTTCTGTACAAAAGAAATATTAATTAATAAATGCAATTTTTCATCATACCCTGTTGTAAAGGTAGAGGCTTGAGACGGTATTTACATGTCTAAGAGTGATTCACTGTGGCAATCTTGTAAGTCATACATATATTACCTAAAGGATATTTGAATATCGGATCTTCTATAGCAATGATTTCCCCAGGTTCTATATCTCTGCAAGCAATAACCCGGCGTCCATCCGTATTAGAGTTTTCTATTTTCACTAAATTAGTTGCGCAATCAATCAAAGGATTGCGATCTTTCTCTGGGATTTCCGGTGGTGTAGTTAAGAATCCAATGGGAAATTGCGATGGCAATAGTTCAATGGCTTTAGATTTTCGATTTTCCAGTTTCCCAATTACATCTTTAGGATAATTATTCTGAATTGCACGCTCTATATCCTAGGAAAATCAATAAATATACACTCAGATGCAAAAAAATCGCAATGGAGAAATTTTTGGTCAAATTTGGCGTGTTATATTTTTGTTATTTTTAGCTCTATTTTCATAACTTTTTGTATATAATTATATGAACTTTAATTCGTAAACTCAGTGTTTTATAAACTTTAGTATTTGGCATATTATACAGGGTTAAACGAGGGGTTGTTTTTTTACCTTAACTTTAAAGCACCCTGTGCAATAATTTCGTGTGTAAATTTTTCTAAAATATAATTTTACGGTTAGAACCATGTCTCCTGAGCATTTTGTTTTTTGGATCATGTCAATACATGCCTTGGTTAAATTTTAAGAGCGAAATAAACTTGCTACCAACAATTTGCAACTTTTACAATTATTTTTCAATATGACGAGGCGGCTTTGGTGATTATTCTGAACTATATACTACTATGAACCGTCTATCATGTTCAGCGTTTGGGAAATGCTTGGCAGGAGGTTTAGAGGTCGCGAAGTGGTACCAGCTTCATTAAATGAACTTCGTTTCGTTCTTAAAGAAGAATGGGAAAGCATAACGCAATAATGATATATGCAACCCCAATGACAGTATGAACGGATGTATACAGGCAGTTGTAGCAGCCAAGGGAGGTAATAAAAAGTATTAGGGTATTTTTTATAATATTTTTTTCTGTTTGTATACTTGACTATTACAGATGTTTTCTTTAATATCGTTAGTTCGGTTATCGTTATGAATGTTTATTAAAACCAGGACTGTATCAAACTGTATCGTTAGTCTTTAACGTTTTTTTTTAAATTTCGTATAGAGTATCCAACGTAGCGGAATATAGCGTTACGACAATGGTCACCAAAACCATCTCGTCATATCAAAAAATTACATCAAAAAGTAATGATAATTGAAAAAATTGCAAATTGTTGGTAGCAAGTTCCTTTCACTCTTAAAAATTAACCAAGGCATATATTGACATGATCCAAAAAACAAAATGCTCAGGAGACATGGTTCTAACCGTAAAATTATATTTTAGGAAAATTTACACACGAAATTATTGCACAAGATGTTTTAAAGTGGCGAAAAAGCAACCCCTCGATGAACCCTGTATAATATGCCGAATACTAAAATTTATAAAAAACTTAGTTTACGAATCAAAGTTGATATAAATATATACAGTTTGCTAAAAAATCAAGAAAATAGGGCTAAAAATAACAAAAATATAACACTTTAAATTTGACCAAAATTTTCTCCGTTGCGTTTTTTTTGCATCCGAGTGTATATTAGAAACATAAATAATATATTAAACGAAGACTTGAAATGAAAAGCGGGATAAGTGTCAAAAAATTTTGAAATCATTTTGTATCATCGAATATAAACGGTGTCAGCGATGGCTATGAAATGAACATTAATGACACTTCCCATATAAATTTACATATAAAATGACAGCCATCTTCATTTCATAGCCATCGTTGACGCGGTTTTTATTAGATCATACGGTACATGTACATACAATTACTTATAAAACGGGCTATGTGACCAGCGCTTTGAAACTACTTTAATAGGGCATCAAAGCTGTCTCACGCATGATCTAATAAAATCAGTGCTATAAAATATCATTTTATCGTCTTGTATAAAAAATAACTACTTTTACCTCCAAACATTCCTTATATAATCCCCATTCAAAGAGAACTGCAGATCTGTTTCCATAAGCAAATGCCAATTCCTTGCTATTCTTTTCTGCATGTGCGACACTTTGAGTATAAAGTTCCACAGCAAGTTCCCCTTTTTTCTTCACAAAGGCTTCAGTTCCTTTTTTTCTAAAACATATTTATTAAACACCAGCAAGATAAATAGGTCGGTCAAGTTTACCCCCCGTACTAGAGGAAATTCAAAAATAGATATAACACTATTTTGCACACATTTTGCACAATTTTGCACACCGTAAATGATATTTTGTACACTTACCTTACAGAGAAACCAGAGCGGTTTTTTAAACGGGCGGCAAACTTGGCCGCTTTCCCCCATCTGTTACGAAAATGATTTATTTCTATGTACATTGATTCGGCTAATTTTGCACACCTATTTTTAAATTTTGCACACCCCCTGACGAAAGTTATGGAGGGTTAAAAATTTTAAAATTACTCCCCATCTGTGACTAAATTGAATTCTGTTTATATCAATCGAATCAGATAATTTTGCACACCTGTTTTTGAATTTTGCACACCATCCTGATTAAAGTTATGAGGGTTTGAAAATTTGCAATTTTCCTCCCATCAGCAAAGAAATTGAATTTTTTTTTATATCAAACGAATCGGTTAATTTTGCACAATTTTGCACAGCTGTTTTCGAATTTTGCACACTCTCCTGACAAAAGTTATAAGGGTTTGAATATTTAAAATTTGTGTATTTTTTTTTGTCCCATTGTGTGTGAAATATCCCATTTAAAAAAAAAACATAAGTATGAGTCATATTACGAAAATGATAGATCTCAGAGACGTGAAAAAACTGTACGGAACTTCGATTTCACTTTTTCGATAATTTACATATAGCTTGCACCTTGCAGAACATTAATGAAACTAAAGATTTTACACACAGATTTGTCCTAGGTTTGGTATAAATGTGCAAAACTCACATACTTATGTTTTTTTTTTAAAATGGGACACGGTCAAGTTTGCCCCCCGTTTAAAAAACGGCTCTTGTTTCTCCTAGGTAAGTGTGCAAAATATCATTTATGGTGTGCAAAATTGTGCAAAATGTGTGCAAAATAGTGGTACATATATCTATTTTTGAGTTTCCTCTAGTACAAACTTGACCGACCCAAGAAAATTTTCCAAGCGGATTGTTTTAAAATACCTGAATTCAGCGCTCTTGACGCAATTCTTGCCATCTACCGTCAAGTCGCCTAACAAACCGTTTGTGAGTAATAGCTCATAAACGAGATCTACTCGTCCTAAATTAGTAACCTCCTGCATAAAAACCACCGATATTGGAATGATTAGGTTCTGCTCATCCAGGAGGCGCACGAGACGATTGCCTATGTCGTTCTGACCTGCTGTACAACGTTGTCGATGTTAAATTATATTTCATTAAATAGGTAAAATTATGTCGGAGTAAAAAGATATGTAGGAAAATCGCTTATCTTCGTGCCTGATCTCTACAGGGTGTTTCAAAAAACATGTGCCATCTCTTGTGGGGAGATTCCTCACGTAAAAATAAGATTTATTTTTCATATCACGATAGGTCCGATTATGCTTTGTTTCGTAGCTACAGGGTGTTAAAGACTTAATATTTTTTCGATTTATTATAATTATCTTCCAAGTACTTTTAGCGTTTAGAATGAAATTTTGGAGGTAAAAGTTACTATAAATGCTACATATTTTAAAGCTAAAAAAGTGTCGACATATTCAGTGGCGCACATGTTTTTTTTGAAAAATATTCCAGTGATAACCCATATGCACGTCCCTGATGAACTTATCGACACTTTTTAGCATTAAAATATGTAGCACATAGTAACTCTTACACTCAAAATTTCTTGTACTTGGAAGAAAATTATAGTAAATCGAAAGATTATTAAGACTTTGACACCCTGTAGCTACGAAACAAATCAGAATGTTGATATGATATGCTGATATGAAAAATAAATCTTATACGTGAGAAATCTCCCCACGAGAGATGACACGTGCTTTTTGAAACACCCTGTATATCTACAGGGGATTTAAACTTGGTAAGCTTGGGAGGATAATAACAGGGTAAAATGCAAAGTTGCTCAATGGGATAAAAAAATAATATAATTCAAATGGTAAAACACCAGTTTGACCTCACATGAGTTGAATTTTGACCTCCCAATTAATTGTAAAGTTAAAAAAGAACATATATTTCTTTGATAATATAATATTTTAGCATACTTCAATGAAACAGAAATTAAATAAATGAGATGGATATAAATACAGTTAGAGACGTAAAGTGAGAAACAAAAGGGTCATTTTTACAATAAATAAACAAATAAATGCGCAAGTTGATAAACTACAATCTTCAGATTGGGGATTGTAGTTTATGTTGACTCTATTGGAGTTCTAAAACCAGTTGGAGTTTAACTAACTTTATAGATTACCAGTTTACGGCAACCTATAAAACCAATTTCTATGAGAAATCTCAAGCTTTGATGGGTGAAGTTTTTTTTACTTGAACTTGAAATCACTTTGAAACAACAAAACTTTGAAATCACTTTGAAAAAACAACAAAATATCCAGTATATAGAAGCCTCCCCAAACACAAAATCATAAAAATGCATCATTCTCTTTTTTTTCGACTTTAGAATAACTGAAATCAGTTACATGAAAACATGTTCCTGCTTTACATTCTACAGGGTCCGGCAATAGTGCGTCGGGCATCTGTAGCTCCTAGAATAAAAAACTTGGGAATTTTGTTTAAGTGCAAACACTGCAAACTTAAAGTATGTACCAGGATGTATTTCCGGAAAATATTTTAACTTCTATAGGGTGGCTTAAAAAAGTGTGAGTGGACCTGGATGATTTTTTTTAAATGGAACACCCTGTATATTATTGCATTTTTGGCTTCCTTTCAGATCACTTTATATAATTCTATGATATGAGTAAATCTATTTCGATAGTTTCAGAGATATTGAGAGATAAATCAAAAAAGTATATTTTTCAACCCTTCTTAAAAAAAATATTAAAAATACAAGAACTGTTCTGAAATCAAAACATCTTAGAAAGCTTAGCGTAGAATTTTGAACATCCTGTATGATTTACGATTTCCATATTTATAGCAAAGTAAGAACAGAGCATCTAAAGTAAATATCTAATATAGTTTTGATTTCAGGACAGTTTTTGTATTATTAATAATTTTATTATTGGGAAAGGCTGAAAAATATATATAATTTTTATTTATTTATTAATACCTCTGAAATTATCGAAATATATTTACTCATGTCTTAGGATTATGTGTGATCTGAAAGGAAGCCAAAAATGCAATAATATACTGGGTGTTCCATTTAAAAAAAAATCATCCCGATCCACTCACACTTTTTTGAGCCACCCTATAGAAGCTAAAATATTTTCCTGAAATACATCCTAGTACATAATTTAGGTTTGCATTTAAACAAAATTCCCAAGTTTTTTATTCTAGGAGCTACAGATGCCCGACACACTAGTGCCGGACCCTGTATAAACACTTTTCTTGTGTAGGTATGAACTTCACCTAGTAGATACTGTAATTTAGACATCAATACCGTACCGAGAAAACGAAAATAAACAAAAATGAACCAACAAACCAAACCAAAACAAACCTAACCAAAGCAACCAAAACACGCTGTAAGCTAAAACGCTTCTGTTAACGAATAATTGCAGAACATTTTAGCCGACCATACCAACATGTATGTTAGGCTATTAAGATCGGCAAAAAAAGGTTTTTTTGGGTCATAAATGACCTAAATACAAAATATTTCCATGGTGTCTGTCTGTCTGTCTGTCCGTCTGTCTGTAACACGATAACTGAAAAACCGCTAAACCGATTTTAACCAAATTTGGCACAAAAATACTGTGGCACCTGAGAATCTGGCCATTAGTTTTTGTTGGGGTTGGGGGTTGGTAAGGAGGTATGGGAGGGGGTTAAATATTTTAAAAAATCGTTACTCCAAAATTAGAGTAGCTAGCGAAATGCGGTTTTCAATTTAAGATTAGGAATAATATTTGCAATAAAATTTGTAATTAGTGTTGGGGCTGGTCAATTGACCGGTCAAATTCGGTCAAAATGTCTTAAATAACATCTTACAATTGTAGAATGTTATCTATCATTGTTTAATAATAATATGGTATTTTATAATTATTATGCGTTTGTGATGTCCAATTTACCTATAACCGTCGTCAAGGAATACGATACTTAGCGATTCGGAGAATCTTAATAAAAATTTGAATCCTGTTGTTGGTTTAATTATCTTTATGGAAAATACATCTGTCACTTTATCGGATGTCCGTCACAAACTGTATTTGTTAAAAGAACATATTAATACATTTGTTTCACTAAGTCCTTTCCTTAGAGACAGCCGTAAAAAGTATCAGATCATTAAGTAAAATATCGTCAGATATTACACCATCAACTTGGTGGGACAGTTGGTAGAATAAATCGGTACTTCACAATGTTACAACAAAATTACTAAGAATGCTGGCCTCCTCAGCTTATTGTGAACGGAACTGGTCAACTTGGGGAATTGTTCATAATAAACTTGTTTTTATTAAATATAATTTAAATATAATAAACAAAAATGGAAGGGTTACTGATCTCAATGTAAGTTCATCTTCTGAAGCTGACATCTCTTCGTCTTCAGACATCGACATCCATGACATCGACTATGAAAATGAAGATGAGAACTTATTGCCCCTGTCTACTAATGTCAATTAATTGTTTGTTTGGAATTAGAAGAAAAAGTATTTTTAAAATAAGTTTCAAATGTTCTCTGTTTATTTTAAGTTAAAATAGAAATATCTTTTTTGTTAATTTTCTAATTTATTTTTTTTTTTGTTTTAAAATTAAAATATTTGTTATTTATATATTATTTCAATGATTATGTGAAACAAAATATTTATTTGTTTCATTGTACTTTTAAAATTATTTTGGTAAATTAACCGGTCAATTGACGGAAAAAAAATGACAGGTCAAATCCACAACCCTATTTGCAATAACATCAAAATCAGTCAAAGTCGCAGTTTTTGAGATAATTGAAACTAAAAGAACTGCCTACCAACTTTTTATTAACATATTTTAGTATGGGCGGCTATACGTGCCTCCCGGCGCCAATTTTTTGACATACTATTCGAAAAGGCTTCCAAATACTAAATAAACAAATATTTCTTTCATAACTGATTTCAAGTAAACGAAACTTGAGTCCTTTTAACCTAAGCCTATAAAAACTGACCTTTAAAATATCTTTAAAATCAAAGAAATTTTACACAAACTGGCAATAGCTTACCGTCGGCCATGCTTCCGGTGCGTCGACTCGAATTGCTGAAAATGTTGACGATCGATTATCGTCTATCTGTAACAAAATTTTTAGACTGAACACAACTGCAAAGGGTTTCGACGTTTGTTTATATTCGACATTATCAATCTGTCGAAATGTCGATGTATTCGACGCCGTTTCTCGTGCTTAATTTGGGCGCCGAAATGATTTTCGTAATAGCACAGAGACTGCAAGCACAAAATATCGCAGAAGACCGTTCTACACTAGGTGATATTTTTATCTCGCCGCACGATTTCAGCTTGTAGTTAGTGCACAAAACCATCACCGTAAAAATTCAGATGCCTCAAGTTTCTACTGATATTTGCTTTTTTATAGTTTTTCAAACAAAATAAACATTTCGACTTATTGTTTTTATAACTTAAAACTCATTTTATCACCGTCCAGGGATATTAATTGTGACACAGGGTGGCGCCTCGTATACGCCGCGAAAACTCCAAGGAGAACGGTAGTTTATATCGAAATGAAATTTTGGCAGCATATGTAGGTTAACTGAAAGCACTTTATAAAAATATATAGAATTATACAGGGTGTCCTCCAAAAAAGTTACACATCAAAGTTGTGTTTTTTCTAATGGAACACCCTATATATTAATTGATTTTCGGATTCTAGAAAAAAAATAAAGGTGAGTTTTATTAAAGAAGCATGTACCTAAAATCTAAGGATTTTAAAATGAAGAGTAAATTTTAAATTTCGATAGCAGCTACCTAAATTTTAGTTGAGCTTATATAGCCTGATATTTAATTACAGTAACCATTGTATGTTAAACCAAATTGAAATTTGACCCGAAAAATTATACAGGGTGAGACAAAATTAATATGGAGCCTTAGTCACTTTTAAAAGCAAGTTACACCTTTATTTTAAATGGAACACCCAGTATATTAACCAATTATCCCGGTGTTCAATGAGGAATTTACATATCTTCAAAATATTATTAAGGTTGCCTACCCCTCAGACAAATATTTTCCTAGATATTTTAATTTTTACGATTTTGCCTCGGTAGATTTTTATTATTTGATATAATCTAGGTATATATATATACACCTTTTATTAATTTAACAAAAATTAAAGATTGTAGAGTAAATACTCAACGGTAATAAAAATATGCACGTTTAAAACAAATTTTAATTATTACAGAATTAAAGCTAGATATAAACCTATACTTATGGGACAAGAATTAGCTGGATGAAATTGAATGCACAAAATGCTTCCTTTCCTCTTAACTGCATAAAATGATTGTCTTTTCAAAAGGATCTTTTCATTTTAAAAGGCATATTTTGAGTTCTACCTCGAAAAGCAGCTGCAATAATTTCTCTCATGTTGTCGACAATAGTTGGTCGAGTTTTGTAAACACTCTAATATATCTCCATAAAAAAAAACAGGCTAGATAAAATCAGGAGCATTTAAGTATTCTAATAATTTGGCGAATGCAGACTGCATTCACCAACTAATAGAATCATATCAATTCTCTCTGATGTAGAATAAGTTTGCATTTTCGGCAAATTTTTGAGAGTTTTTTTTTGTTTTAACTGACACAAAATTATAACTAGTTTTTAAAGTTGGACTAATTAAACAGCTATGTAGAAGTAACGTCAGACATATCACAGCCACCTAGATTATATCAATAATAAAGATCTACTCAGATCAAATCATGTACATGAAAATATCTAGGAAAATCTTTGTTTGAGGGGTAGGCAATCTTATTAGTATTTTAAAGACACATGAATTCTCCATTGAATATCGGAATAATATACTGGGTGTTCCATTTAAAATAAAAAAGTAACATGCTTTTAAAGGTGACCAATGTTCAATATTAATTTTGTCTCACCCTGTATAACTTTTTGGGTCAAGTTTTAATTTTATTTAAAGTACATTAGGTAATTTAACTACATATTAGGCTATACCGGGTAAATTCCAATTTAGGTAGATTTTATTGTAATTTAAAAATTGTTCTTTATTTCTTGAAAATGTTAAATATGTCAAAAACCTTAGATTTTAAAAAACCCTAAACTCACCTTTATTTTTCTCCCAGAATCCGAAAATCAATTAATATAAAATCAAAACAACATCGTTACAAAAATCCCAACTTTGAAATGTAACTTTTTTGGGGACACCCTCTAGAACTCTCGATATTTTTAAAAAGTGCTCTGAATTAACCTACATATACTCACAAAATTTCATTTCAATACAAACTGTCCTTCTCCTTGGAGCCTCCTACGAGAGGCGCCACCCTGTACAGAGTAAAAATCAAAAAGTGACGAAAAAAATCAGAAGACACCACCTCTTTTAAAAATATCAGGATTTTTTCGTATACAATTTTTTGAGAAGTTTGTAGGGAAATGCCAATTCGCTACAAAGTTAGTTGCTAATACAGGGTAAACCAAAATCGTAAAATATGTATTGTCGACTTTGTTTAAAAAAAGTTCAGACTAAAAAAACAGTACAAAATCAGTGCAATGTCATAAATCAAACCGCATTTTTAGGTAGAATAATTATTTGGTCTATCATATACAGGGTGTTTAAAGAATTTTTTTCCTAACATTAAAGTCAATTTCGAATTTTTTGTTTCTGATTTCAGCTTGTACTTAATTCAAAACTATCACCATAAATTCAATTGCTTAAAGTTTTACTGATATTAGCGTTTTTTTCTCGTTTTTTCAAACAAAATAAACATTTCGACCTGTTTATAACTTAAAACTCAATTTATCACCATCCAGGGATATTTCAAAACACCGGGTGTTTTGAAAATGAAATTTCGTATGTTAGTCCTGATTTACGTCATAACGTAAATCAGGATTGATTGACTAGTTTCGGTAACTTCCTGTTCCTCCGGATATGACTTCAACTTTTGATTTTTAAATACAGGGTAATTCAGCCTTCCGAAAAAGCTCTATATTAGGTTTTTGGTTTGGGATTTTCGTTTCAATTTTTATATAATATGGGGACAATAGTAACGCACATTTTTAAAATATTTTTGCCAAACATATTTAAAAACCAAAATTATATATTTTCTTTTTATAATTCTGACACACTACATTCTGTTCTACATTTACTAATCTGAATTCTGAATAAAGCCAAGTGTAGAATAAATAATAGATAACATAAAATAAGTTCACAAAAGCCCAAGAAATCCGCAAAATTTAAAATCAAATTCAAACGTGTCAAATGAAACGTCATACAGAACTGTCAAAAATGGGGGTCATAATATCAATTCCGCCTCTAATGCATGAGACTGAGATAAATATTATAATTTTGCTTCACCCTGTATATGCAAATTGGAAAATAATAAATAAATAAAAACAGATCTATAGGAAAACCGAAAATAACCAAAAAAAAATAGAAATAACTTAATATAAAAAATATATATTTTATAAAAAGCAATCATGTCCAAAATTCATCGTTGCTAATTCATTCACACCCTGTATATGTAGATAGTACATTTATCACGTTTTATAAGTTATGAATCATTTTGATATTAGACAAGTTGCACAATGGATGTTTTATAACATAATCGCAAGCGAAGTGGAATTTAAAAAATGAATGTATGTTGTACCTGCATAAAATAAGCACATAATACAGGGTGGACAGTAAAATAATGCAATAAATATAGAAACATATTATCGCCGCCTTTATCACGAAGAGACCTAGCAAAATTTTAAAAATTGAGATATTTTGCGGTTTAAATCTTCTCATGTACCTAAGTGTTTAGTCTCACCAAGTGGCATACATAATATATCTGTATACATATATCGGAAATTAGCTTTGAAACTGAGCTCTCTGACTATAGTGACTATAGAAAAATAAAAAAGTTATAGGCTCACCCCTATAACTTTTTTATTTTTCTGATAAAAAAACGAGATTTGGTATGTTAGGGTACCTACTTAGTGAGGCATCTCGCCGCGATGCATTGAATGCATCGCGGGGGTGAATGCTGCATTCACGTTTTAAGCACTTAAACTAATGCTTAAAATGTGCGCGTAGGATGCATCAATAAGGCGAGCATCGCATCGAGATGCCCCACTATGTTTGTACCCTTAGTATATGACACAAATTAGGATTGATTGGCGTATTCAATTGTTTTAGGTCACTTCCTGTTTCACCGGAAACGACAACTTTTGATTTTTAAATGGCACCCTCGGTATATTTTTAATTTATTCTATAGAAAATGACACTCTGAATAGAATGACAAAAAATAGTATTTTAAATTTCAATTTAGTCATGCCATGGTCATTAAACGTAAAGACAATTTTACTCGAAATATCAAAAGTGTGGTACCAAATTATTCGCAAAAAAATGCTTTTTTTCAAATATGGTATTGAGCCACCCTCGTTCCATTTGAAAAAATTGAGATATGATTAAAAATAAGATTTGAGCATCTTTTAACCGGCCAGGACAAGAAACACACATTGATTAAAAATTAGTGTTTTTAAAACAGCCATAGAACTCTAGATTGAAATTTAAATTACGAATTCTTTTAAAGCGAGAGTGTCAAAGGTTGTCATATAACATGTCATTCTATTCAGAGTGTCATTTTCTATCGAATAAAGTAAAAAAAAATACGAGGGTGTCGTGTCATTTAATAATGAAAAGTTGAAGTAATTTCCGGTGAAACAGGAAGTATCCAAAAGCAATTGAATACGTCAATCAATCCTAATTTATGTCATATACTAATACACCAAATCTCGTTAGGCAATAGAACATTTAAAAAAGGCGACCATTAATACCAAAGAGGCCTGGTTTATAAATACAAAAGCCAAGAGAGAGCCTTATTATTGCTTTGGCTTTTGTATTAATAGAAAATTTGTAAAAAATTAAAATATTAAAAAAGTTATTAAATTTCCACTCTAAGTTTAATAAAAACTTTAAATATTTGAAAAACTGTTAAATCCCTTAGTAAAAATATATTCATCATTGTATAAAATGTATTTAAACTTTAACCGAGATGTTAAAAATATTGGTGCAGAGGGCTAGAGAGTGTTCTATTTCAAAAAATAAAGTTTTGTCTATTTTTGGCTGTGGCCCCTTTGGGTCAAATTTGTCCCCAAGTATAGGTAATCAAGTTAACATTATCCAGTTCCTGTCAATGAAATAAGGTAAATCCAGATCGTGTATATTTGGAAGCATTGCAATGTTAACATTTTTTAGTCAAATAGCTCATTCCTAAAAGCAACAAATAGCCCACAGCAACTTTAAAATTTGAAACCTCAGTAACGTGTTTTCTGCTAAATAAGTCGCTAGAGAAACACTCTGTCACACCCTGTATATGTACTATCCATAGTATGTAAATTGATCAAAAAGATCTCACAAATATAATGTACCTATGATCGAAAAAAAAACGGTGTCCAGTTGGCTTGGAAATGACGATTGCTGACAGTCCCCTTATAATTTTACATATACAATAAACAGCGACCTTCGTCTCATAGCCATCGCTAACGTCCGTCGTTTTATTCGATCATACTGTATATATATGTATCGCGTATGAATTTAACAATAAGATACAAAAGAATCTTACCAAACTTTGAAACAATAAGCTATTATGTTCTTCTGATACGCCCAGTTCTTGAGGATTTAATCGCTGGTTTGACTTCAAATCGTCTTATAAAAGACCTAACCAAACTTCAGACGGTGTACAATCACGAAGCCGTTAGAGAAATTATAGAGAATATCGCAAATTCTTCGTCGATGAAATTGGACACAATAAGTATGAACAAACTATGGGATCTTATCACGATGGTATTCAAATGGCAGGTACAAAAACTGCACACGTACACTCTTTGGGAGTCCCCGCCAAAAACCGTTTTTATTTTTTTTAAGCTAACAATGACGAGTGAAGTTATCAACGTAACGCAGCGCCATCTATACGAGATTGAAACATTCGTAGCCAGCGAAGGTACCCAACTTCAGTTACATCGCGTTCAAAATATTTTAGAAAATTTTAATAAAATATTGAGCGATAACGAGAAAACTGGTATTTATGATGATTTGATAAACTGGTGTAAAGTAAAAAAAAATCAATCAAAAAATATATCGTTTTGCAATTTTTTTTCAATTACAGCCATTCAACGTCAGGGTATCGCTTCTCTTGCGAATGGGACTCCAAGATAACGATGGTCAATTTGTGGTGAATAATTTAGATCCCATTGCAGAGAAAATGTTACAGAATATCGGCGAAAATATATATCAAGTGACACAAAATGGTAGAATTTTGGAAAACAGGCATAAAGGATCGTCTGGTAGTAAAAGTTCGTTAGAACTAGAAAATGTTAACGAACTCAAATGTTTTGTGGATGAAATGTTGGGTCAACGAAAATTAAGCAGCGGTAGCACTGAAGGTCTGTTTAATGGTTTTTGGAAACGCGAATTTATGTTATGTCTATTTTTTATATATTATACTTATTATGTAAATTTAAACGCACGAGCGCATTGAACATTTTTAAAATTACGCTCTATACAAAATATAAATTCTTTAATTATTTTCGTTCCCAGCGCTATAAGTATATATTTATTTCTATTGTTGACAAATTGTTTGTATACTTATAGGTAATTTATATAAAGGCAAATACCTATAGTTATTTTTAGAAAATGAAAGTAATTCATTGGCCGTTTAATCGATCCTGTTATACAGGGTTGTCCGAATGGTATTCCGGAAACTTCGGCAGCATATTTCTGCAGCTGAAAATAAGTAAAAAAGTTCGTCTAAATTTGGTATAAATGTATGTATATCTTAGTTCTGGAGATACAGGGTGTAGAAGTTTCCTTTTTATTTCAATTTTTTCTAAATAATTTCTGAAGTTAACGTCAATATTTGGATGAAAATTGGTGTCTGGGAGTTTTTTGACATGATAAATTTGATTTTCATGTCAATATTACTCCTATTTGTAGGGAACATCACCTATACACGTGTCTTAACTGTTGAAGAATAATAATAACTTTTCGTCCGTACCTGTATAAAACTACTGAGTGAAAAAATATACATTACCGTGGTTTTTTAGATAAAGAAAGTCTGTTGGTAAAAATTGCTACGAGCAACCGTTCTCAAGATATTCAAAATAGAAATAGTCAAAATACATGTCATTATTGACAAAAAATAAATATGTTAATAAGAGTGTAAGTAGATAATTATTTGACAGAATTGATTAATTTGGGAACTTTTAATTTTTAATTTTTTCTTGGAAACAAATAATGCCGATAAAACAGTTTCTTCAGAGCTTTTGACAAAAAAACAATTCAAATTTATGATTTCAGTCTATAACTATTTAGTCTCAACATGTTTAAATTTATGTCAGTGATGACAGATATTGATAATTTCAATTCCAAATATCTCGAAAACCATTACTCGTAGCGATTTTTACCAACAAACCTTTTTTACGTAAAAAGCGCCGTAAATGTATATTTTTTCACTAAGTAGTTTTATACAGGTACGGACAAAAAGTTATTACTCTTCAAACCAATTAAAAAATATGTAGGTGGCACCCTCTAAAAGTAGGAGTCATATTGACATCAAAATCACATTTCTCATGTCAAAAAACTCCAGGCACCAATTTTCATCCAAATATAGACGTTACTTTAGAAATTATTTAAAAAAAATCGAAAAATGAAACTTCTACTCTCTGTATCTCCGAAACTAAGCATTTTAGGACATACATTTATACAAACTTTTTTATGTATTTTTATCTGCAGAATATGCTGCCGAAGTTTCCGGAATACCGTTCGGACCACCCTGTAGAATGGACTTTATAAATACTTAAATAGAAATTTCCAAAATAAATGTTAGAAAACACGCAAATTAAATATGTTATTAGTCTGAATTAAATGTAAATATGTATTATATTACTTAATTTTTTTACAGGGAACTCAAATTTACTAAGATTTTCATTAACTGATTCCAAATTAAACAACAACGCAGAAGACAAATTTGACAGTATTGATGTAAATATCAATGATAATGATAAATTACAATCATTGATCACTGATTTGACTTTGAGAGATGATTCTGAACATAACAACTTTAAAGATGACCTCTTAAGTATGATTGACAATGATCAATCAGAGGTAGTATAATTAAATTTTTGGGTAGTATAATTACCAACTACAAAATTAAAGGTAATCAGACTAAATAAATTTTACATATGAAAACAGGTGCCTAAAATAGCCTACACATTTTTTATCTATGTATTCATTATGTTTCTGTATAATTATAAAACCAACAATTTCTAATTCTGTAACCAATGATAGTTTTAAGAACTGTTCTACAATATTATATGCCATAACAATTGCAATAAAAGTGCCTTTTAATAAATCATAACAAGAGTTTTATTTTTATTCCTTATTAAAATCTTAAGTTATATTTCTTTTAACATACCCTAACTGTAACATATAATCTAACACATGACATAACTTTTGCAATCAAAATTGCTTTTAACAAATCGTAACAAGAGTTTACATTTATTTCTTAATCAAATTTTAAAATATACTTCTTTCCAATCATGCCTTTAATAGTTAGAGTATTTAATAAGGCTTCCTTATAATTATTGAAATCAACAAATTCATAAGCTGGCCCTTGTAAATCATTATTGGTCATCATAGTAATCAATTCTGCTAACATTTCAAACCTTTCTATACTAGAAGCGTTTTCTTTTGACCACCTAGTCATCCAAAACCCTCTAAATTGCAAATCTTTAAAAATTAAGGCAGAAGTAGGGATACTTAAAGGTTCTCTTGACATTCCACCATAAGTAACCATAGGACTACCATTCTGAAGATATCTGAGACACTCTAAGGCATTTTTACCTCCGACACAATTTAATGCCAATCTTGGTTTATCTATTTCCCCTTTTTTAAAAATGTCTGTGGTCCTTAGTTCCTCTTCTGTTAGAACAAAATTAGCTCCTAAACTTATGAGGTAATTCTTTAATTCATCTATATTTGGTCTATCCCTAACAACATTAACTGTTCGAATTCCCCATGTTCTGCATATTTGAATAACATTTTGCCCGCAAGCTGAATTAGCTCCATTTTGAATAATCTTAAATATTTATAGAATATATGTATAGTCAATAGAGTAATAATAAGAGTGACACTTACTGTATCTCCAGGTTTTAAAGCTGCAAAGTCTCTGAGCATTCTAAATGCAGTGCATGGATTAACTGTAAGAGTAGCTGCTTCTACTATACCTAACTTTTTTGGAACTTTAAAAACTTGATCTTTTGTAACAAGTAAATGCGTCTGCCATGTACCTAAATTAGATGCTATAGGCACAACGTGATCGCCTTCGGTAAAATCTGTTACATCTGGACCTAACTCTATTATCTGACCTACACCTTCATTGCCAGGAATTGCTGGTAATGATGGTTTGGAAGGATATTTTCCTTGAATTGTATTTATGTCAGCTGGATTTACTGGTGCTGCAATCATTTTCACTAATATTTCATTTCGACTTGGTTTTTTCAGTTCGACAGTCTCCTTATTAATAACTTTAATTGGATCTCCATAATCGTTATAAAGTAATTTTGCCCCTGTGTTTTTAAACCGAATTTGATATGCTCCTGCCTTTCGATAAACGTTTAAACATGTCCTTCCCAATAATGTATTATTATATAGCACAGACATTTTTAAAATGTACCATAAACAAACATTCAAATTCAAAATTTAAACTTTTAATTTTCTGTTAAAATCTATGTTTAAAAAAATGACAACAAAATATTAGGTTATACAAATAGAAGATTATTTTCTTTTATCTATGGTTATACACGAAAAGAAAAACATTGGGTGCATTCAGTAAACACACTGGTTAGTCCACCGGTGCAGAAAATTAAATTGAATGGGTAACTCACCGGTTGATTCACCGATCACTTGAGAGCCTACCGTATTTTGTTTCCGGTTTATTTACGTACCGGTAATTTAATCGTTCTTTAGTTATCACATCGGTAGGTCTCTACGGTCTTTACCGGTTAATACCGATGTGTTTACTTTATTGAATGCGCCCATTTCTTTGAATAAGAAGACTAAGGAAGGAGCATATCAAAAATCTTAGGTACACCGCGATGGGCCTCAAATATGGCCGACTTAAATTCCGGTTTATCAGTGTCGTTCTAATTTTATTTAAAAAATGTAAAACTATGATGTAGGGTAGACGTGGGGTAGACTCAATAATTTGTTGTTTTATTTTACGTTGTGAATAAATGTTGGTAGTTATTAAAATGGGCCTAAAATGGTTATAAAAATATATAATTCTAATAAAAATAGATAAGTTATAATAAGTATTTATTAACACAAACATCCGATACGCTACTGAAGAGGATACATTAAAATACGCAACCAACCGTCCAATCAGATGAAAGAGGTACGTACCCAAGGATATATAGAAGAAGGATATTCAACTCCCTATAGCGGGCTATGTTGGAAAATATGCCGTATTTTGTCGAGGAAGACGATTTCGTCACGACCAATGAGCGTCGAGTATTTGAAATTGAAAACATATAAATTGACGGTAACCTATGTTTTTTGACAGATGTGATGAGATTAATATTGTAATTTATAGATCCAAACGTTTTTTGAAAAAATAATGTATTTTAAAGTTATTTCCTAGAGTTTGGTTTGGCCTTCTATATTCTGGTATTTGTCTACTAATAAATAATATCTTATTTTGTATTTCGATGTATGGAAATCCGCAAGTTTTGTATCTGAAGCCGCAAAGAAATTTCGCTCTATAGTGAGAAAAATGTTATTATATCTTTTTAGACGTGTAGAATTACAAAAGGCATATTTTCGCGAGATCTCATCTTAAGACTTGTCTTTAAGCGCCTTAAAGAACTACGTCATTAATTTTCCAAACGCAAAAATGTACGTCTTTTAAGCGTGACGTTTTTCTCAAAGGATTGACGTTGAATCTGTGGTTGGATGTTAGGTTAGGGAGTTATTGTTGTTGGTCTGTGGAGTTAAGCCCCGTTCTCAGAACTACGTCGTGTCTATGGAGGGCTTAAAAAAGGAGATTTATCGGCAATGGGCAAATTTGAAATTTCTGTCCCCACTTTTAAGCAGCTTCCTCGGTTTGACAGCAGAGGCACTGCGATCACAGAACAGATTAAAAACAGAACGAAATCTTCCGTACAAAAAATTAGGACAACATTTTGGTACGCCATCTATGACACGGATTTAGAACTACAAATTAAATTAAAATAAAGAAATCTGCAATTAAATTTTAAAAAGAAATCTGCATTGCATTCAAAGCAATTTTGGCAGCGCCATCTATAGTATTATATTACACCTAATTAATTTAATATACCGTATGTTCGAAAAATAACGATTCCAAGTTAACTTAAAAATGACGATTGATAACATTTTCTTTGTAAAGTTATATGGTTAATGTCATCAATAGTCATTTCTAAGTTAACTTGAAGCCGTATTCTTCGATCATACAATATTTAAACTAGGATGATTTTATACCAGATAATTTGTTTCAAGTAAAGTTAAATAAACATCTTATACAATATATTTTTTAAAAAATATGTTGTAAAAGATGTTTGATTTAATATACTTGCCAAACAAATATCTAGCCTATAATCGTTAAACAATACACATGCGGTAAAAATCACATTACAATATTTTCTATACCAAAATCAAAAAGTACTATCAGATTTACTTAATAATAGGTGTATGATTAATAACACATGTGAATTGATTATATACCAGATATTACAAGGAAGTTTATAATAAAAATCATTTATTTTTTGTTATAAATTTTTATTTATTTTTTCTTTTTTCGTAGATTTCGAAATTTTACAATACAAATGCGGCTCATTAAATTTATAGGCAACTAAAAATTAAACATTACAATTATTGCTCGGATAAAATATATATATATACAACTATTTTTGTATTCTTTTTGTTTTCTAAATTTCTATACCTAGGTACATGGTAATACTAAAGTAATACCGTATGATCGAAAAAACGAAGTCAAGTTGGCTTGGAAATGACGCGGTCGATGACGTTCCTCATATAATTTTACATATAGAGAGAGAATGACAGCGATATTTATTTCATAGCCAACGGTGACGCCGTTTTTTTTTCGATCATATTGTACCATACGATTACGAAAAGCTGCATCAAGCCACCTTAGGAATGACAATTGATGGCATTTAAAATGTAAATTATATTAGTAAATCTAACCAATTAATGAATATCAATCTTCCTTATCATCGATAGCCATTTCCAAGGTACAATTAACCTAACCTAACCTAGCTTTTATCGAGCAGGTTATATTATTATAAACTAATTTCTAGGTACTTACATATAAAGAATAATTCACTCTAAATGGATACACAAAATAAAAAGTTTTTAATTTAAAATAATACACTATAAAGGCCGGGCACACAACATAAAACGTCTTTACTTTGAGAATGAACACTACGACACTCACAACCACAAAACACATACCTCTCAGCTCCAGAAAAAGTTAGCACTGATGGCTGCCGGGAAAATGACGAAATATTACGATGAGACGGGTGGCGGGAAGAAACTTTTCCTTCCTCTTACTCCGCCCATGTATTTTTAAATCGACAGTGGCGCCATCTGACAGCAGGATTTGGCAATTTTTGTTCCAAATCCTGCCATTTAAGTTTTTGCACCGTGACTGCGATCGACTGGGATACTACATTTTCATTGTTAGTATACGATTTAATTGTGTTTTTAATAAAATTTATAGTTAATTTACTGAATTTTTAGCAGTACAACAATGAGTCGTGGTAGAAATTGCTTTGTACCTGGCTGTACAAGTGGGAATCCCAATAAAAACAAGGCAAATAAAGAACGGGGTGAAAGAAACCCAAGCCTTTTCAAAGCTCCTAATGTAAGTAGTATGACTATTTATTTATAAAAATTATGGATAGATGTTAAGAAAAACATTAAAATTATATACTGTCAGTGTACAGATTAAATTATAAACCAAATTAATAGGAAATATAGCCTAAAATCAACATGTGTATAACATAACCTAGGAGGCCTTGTTATAAAATTAAAATAATTTAATACTTACTAGGTGCTAAAATTACCTGTTGACATGTACCTATATTAACCACAGTTTGAACAGTGCTATTGAAAGTGAATATTAAATATTTATACTTCAAGATCGTATTCTCAAAATAACAGCTTTAATAGTGAAAAATGTTTTTTTTTTATTTTATTTAACAATTATATATCTTTTATTAGGATCCTAGCTTGCTACAGCAGTGGCAAAAGGCGATACCCAGATCAGACAAGACACTTAGCAGCAAAGATGCTGTTTGTGAACTACATTTTCTAGATGAAGATATTTTGACTCATTATGAGATCAAATTAACTGACGGAACTATCAGTAGAATTGAGCGGGGTAGACCATTATTAAAGGAGGGTTCAATTCCAAGAATTTTTCCTAACCTGCCTTCATATTTCTCTAGTAATAAAAGAAAGAGGAAACCACCATGTGTAAGGAGTGAAGCAACTGAAAAAGTTTCTAATTCAAAAAAAGTAAAAGGTCTGCCTATTAATCATGTTGAAAATCAAACTTCAGAACCTAACTTTGAGAATGAGAATGAAATTCTTCGTGATATTACTAATGTGCCAGTTGATGTTACAGACAGTAGAGTTACTATGTTCACAAATTTGAAAAATAGTTTGGCTGCAGTTGGCACACCAAACAAGCGATGGGCAGGTACATTTATTTCAGGTTCAAATGAAATAGTCTTTGCTGAGTGGGATGATACTTACTTGCCAAAAAAAAAAATTATAATTTGCAAGGATATGTCTTATAAGGTAGATATTAAGTATTTATTTTTGTTGGTATAAAGTTGTGTTTTTAATTTACTTATTTAAGGTTTTATTTGGGAAAACAGAAATTACTTTTGAAGAGAAAAGTTCAGAAATATCTAGTTTTGAAGAACTTGAAAACATATTAATATCTGTCAATAGAATGGGAGTCTGTTCTGAAATTAAGCTATGGCAATTTTTGGAAATGTTTACCCTAAGAGGGTAAAACTTGGAAAAACTTGTTATAATCGCTCTTTTAAAAGTATGAAATTTTGCACAGAGGTTTCTTTGGTGACTTAATTGAATATTATGTAACGTTTTCTGAAATTCGCACCAAAAGGGGGCGAATGAGGGAGTGAAACGAGCAGAAATTATCGCTTGAGGGGGCGAAATTTTCTGTAAAAGCTTTTAAAATCTGGTCCTAGGGAATCTACTAAGAACGTCGATTTTTGAAAATTTATCTCTTAAAAGGGTTATATTAGGGGTGAAAATTTGTACAATTTTTTAAAATCGGTTCTAGATGTAGTAATTTCATAAAAGTAAAATTGTCGTATTACTACTGACATATTTGCATATGTCAGATTGTAAATTTATTATAAAAATTATTTAGATTTTTGACTAGCCGTCGCAAGACGCTTTTTCATTGAGGAATAATAAGAAATAATTTGAAAATTATTGTATTGTGGTTGATACTTTTGATTGTGTATATAAACCATTTAGAATAGTTTTTATGAATATGAATAAGCTCTTTAAATTAATATGTAGGTATATTGTAGCTAGGTATTTTTTTAGAATGCATTTTTTTTAAATTGTAATTTTTTGTGTTCTTGATATAATATGATGTTCCTGTTTTATTTTTTGGCATAGTACATATAGATATTTAATATCTAAGTGCTAAATTGTATATTAAATTTATATATTGTATATTTTATTTATTAAATTTAGTGGAATTAGTTAATAGAAACAAAAGTTGTAATGTATTAATATTGCTAAATAAATATTTATATGATGAAATAAGTCAGCGTATATACATATTCACAACTCTGTATTTTTGTGCTTTTGAAATAAACTGAGTACATTATTTATTCATTAATATTTTATTTACAAACCTACCTTATATTAATAAAGTGAATATCAATAGAAAAACCTTTACAATTATTAGGTGACATTGAATATAATATATCTTGAATTTAATTGTCTACGAAACAGTGACAATTTGCAAAACTTTGCTAATGACATTAAAACTTACAATTCAACGCTAGAAAAAACGCTATTGAACACAGGAAACGTTTCAGCTCAATATACCTACTCTCTAGTTTCAGCTATAAAAAGTTATGGAATAGATAACACCGATCAAAGGGTGCAATGGTAACGTTCGTCTTCAGTTTCCATTTATGATTAAGTTATTCCTGATAAAATACTCTTAATTTTCGTTATTCAATCTGTCAATCGCCATAAAACCACTACTAGTTCGAAAGATTTTAATGTTTATTAAAATGGTATCACACTAAACTGCATGTAAACATGTCAATTTCAAATGTTTTAATGAAAAACTATGAACCTTTAAACTGCATCAACAAAACTATTAATAAAACACTAACACAATCACACCATAAACTATTTCATTCGCATTTCTCATCAAGAAACAATTACTGTTTACATCAAATCAAAGGTTGAACTGGTGATAAATTTGTTGCTGGAACTTCTATCTTTTTTGTACAACAGTTCTAGGGAAGATTTATTTTAGCAGCTTATATGTTTCTTCGGTCGTGTATGCACTAAAAAGAACCACATAATAAAACATTTTTATAATATCAACTTAGGAAAAGGATATATTAAACCGGCATCTAATATAACCTAACTAACTTTTCAAACTCAAATTTAAGGTTTTGTATTCACAATTTTAGCCACGCACATTGCTCAATTAGAAAAACCACGTTTCTAAAAGCTAACTCTGGTAAAAATATGCCCAAATATTAACTTGGCTCTATAATTTATAACAAAATAGTTATTCTTGCCATAAGAAGCTGTGTATTTCTAGTATCCCAATCATCACAAGCGCCCCTAACGGCGATTTTCGAACTTCATTTAGATCTCAAAAACTGGGCCCATAATTTTTGCGTTCGATTCGCCTCCTCCTTTTAGACTCCATAGTCGTGTCGACAGCGACACTGATTGACATTTCAAACAACCAATGGGAGCTGTACTAAATTTAAAATTGACAGCTGTTTGAATTTTGTACAAATCTGATTGGTTCTTTTGTCGTGTCGCTGGCGACAGTCGCAGTTCTGAGAACGGGGCTTTATTCTTGAGCTTGAGCGTGGCTTTGAGTTTATTTCTGTGGCTTATTTTGTGGAAAATATTTGAAAAGTAGGTACTATTCTGAAAGAAAATTATTAATTATTACCTTTTCCGAAATGGGTCCAGTAAAACGAAAAATTTTGATAAACGATTTTTTCAAATGATATGTTGGCTATGCTATTATGTTTATTTCTAAGAAGGAGGCCTACATTATTTAGTGCCTTTATGTATATTTTGTGTTTTGAAAGAAACAACCACATACGATCCATATATAGTGAAAATTGATTTTCGATACAAAATGCAGACTTTTTATATGCATTTTCGCTTGACAAGAGATACTCCTTCCAGACGGTTGGTGCAATGCCCTGAATTTTAGTAAAGCTTATCAAGGAGGTGGGGTACCTTTGAATTGTGAAAAGCTTCTTATGACACTATGGTTGTTAGGAAAAGGGAGACTCTAGTCTCTATTGGGAGACAGATTTGATGTTGCAACGTCAACAGTTCATTATTATGTTAATATAATGATAGGAAGACTGGTAGTAATTGGTACCTAAGTATATGCTAAGACAGTGGCCGAATGCCCAAGAAATTGTAACAATTGAGAGACAATTTTATGAAATATGTGGCTATCCGGTAATTTCTGAACCAAGTTTGTTTTATAAGTATGCCTAATGAAATGAAATCATTGCATTTCAGGTGTTATTGGTGCTATTGACGGATCGGTTGTGTAAATTTTAAGGCACCACTGAATCAACAGGACAGCTATATCGATAAAAATGACAAACATAGCATCAAGATTCAAGCTGTATCAACAGCAATGTAGGATATTTACCAATATAAATGTTAGTTCCTGGCTCTTGTTCACTTATTGTAGTAGAAGTTACTTTCAAATGTACTTATTGTAATTAAAATTAGCTATTGTATGTAACCAAAACTATACATACATTGTGCAATATCATATTAGATATGAAGCTATTTCAAAAATTAGTACAACAAAGTAAAATAGATAACTCTACTGTTGGTGCCACAGTGTTTATGAATTTTATTTAACTTCAGATATTGCATAACAGTCAACTATATAGAGATACAGGACTAAATTTGTTAAAGTATTTTCCAAGTGAACAATATCATCTTATTAGTGATAAGGCATACCCTATATTGGAGTGGTTAATAACACCATTTAAGTATGTAGAATAAGGCAAAATTATATATATTTTTTTTAATATTGCAAGTGATGTAATAATAATCTAGTTACATCTACATTAGTGAAAATTTGTTATCACTACTTTAATTATTTACTCACTTAATATGCTCTCTCTTTATTAGGGATTATGGCAATTTAACAAGAAGACGTGTAAAAGATTCACAATTATAAACACAGTAAAACGAGAATTAGGTGTGGAGCATACATTTGGTATATGGAAGTCTAGATGGCGAATTTTAAGGTACATCAATGTAAACTGCCCAAAAAAGGCTGCTAAAATAATCGCTGCTTGTTGCGTGCTTCATAATTTCTGTTACCAAAATTATGATGAATGGAATGATGAAATAAGTGATGTCCTTTGAAGACGGCAATGATAATGTTGAAGCATTACATATTAATAATGAAAATATTGGTATTCAAGCAAAAGAGAAAATATTGCTAACTCCTTTATATATAAATTTTAGTAAATCAATATAAATGTTAATATACACATTATGTAGTTTGAGAAATGATGAAATTAAAAATAAAGAAAAACAAATCAAGTAAGACCATTTTATTAATAAATTCAAATTTTTAAAAAATTATACAGGATGGCCCATTAGTGCGAGAGGAAAGTCAATGATATCGTTGTTGTTGACAAAGATATGGAAAAATTCTATAAAGATATTGAATAGTTTATAATCGCAGCATATCCTAAAAAATATTTTTGTGGTGCAATAGAGGGTGTCCAAAAAATTATGATAAAGTTTTAAGTTTTTTTTTAAATTGTAGCCCCACTTTTCCGTACATAATTGGATTCAGCATAAAATACTGCATATAGTAGTACTCTTTTTATTTTTGAAAGAAACAACCACATACAATCCATTCCATATATAATGAAAATTGGATATCCGATACAAAAATGTAGACTTTTACATGCATTTTCGATGACCAGAGCTTTCTTGATTCATCAGATACTTTCCACAAGCTAGTGGGTGTGGTTCAATGCCCTGAACTTAATAAAACTTATCATGGAGGTGGGGTACCTTTTAAATTGTGAAAAGTGCTTCTTATGACACTATGGTGGTTAGGAAAAGGGGACTCTTTTTAGTCTCTATTGAGACAGATTTGACGTTGCAACGTCAACAGTTCATTATTATGTTAATATAATGATAGGAAGATTGGTAGAATTGGTACCTAAGTACATACAGTGGCCGAATGCCCAAGAAATTGTAACAATTGAGAGACAATTTTTTTAAATATGTAGTTATCCAGGTATTCTGCACAATAGAGTACACTATTTATTTGAAGCACTATGCGGTGTTACCATTTTATTTTCAGATTTTAAAACTTTGACTAAAAACACACTATATAAGTGTTTAAAACTGTAGTAAATATAACTTATAATACTTTACTTTTAAAAATACCAAGAATACATCCCTGCTAGAAATCTCACATTATCTTATACTGCATATTTTTTATACAAACCATTGCAGTATGCAGAATGCTATATCTCAATTTTTTTTATATGCAACACCATGTGATATAATTTTTCTTTTAGATGCAGGAATTAAAAACACGGACATTGTATGTTTTTACACTTTCGCAGATATTTGTAGTGTATATTGAAAATGGCTCTTCAGTAGTTAACTATAAGGCAAAAAATCACAAAATTGGCTCTGATCAAAATTTACTATTGAAAGAGCCATATGTAATATAATACTAAACATTCTCTCTAATATAATAATGGTAATAACTGCTAAACCATTAAAAATTAGGAGAGAAAATTATTACACTTTAAATATAAAAAAATGTTCATTTTATAATTCTGCATCTAAAAGAAGAAATAATATACAGGGTGTTGCATTTCAAAAAAATGGAGATATAGTATTTAAATGTTCTTAACACTATAAAATTTACCATGTATAAGATCATGTAAATTTTCCCCTCGCGGGTTTATTAAAATATAGCTAAGTATTAATAAAGTTAAATTCATTCTAGTTTATAACCACTTTTCGGATATAGTGTTTTTGAACCAAAGTTTCAGTAACTATGAAATAAAATAGCTACACCACATAGTGCTGGAAATAAAAATAGAGTACTATATGCAGAATTTTATGCTGAATCCAAATCTGTAGAGAAAAATGGGGATCCCAATTTAAACAACTTCAAAATTTATCACAACTTTTTCTTGGGACACCCTGTATACAAAAAATATTTTGGATATCTCCTTTTCAACCCTTTTATAAACCATGCAACATCTGTATAAAACTTTTTTCATATCTTGACTTCCTCGCACTAATGGGCTACCCTGTATATATCATTAAATATTATTAGTGTTGAGTTATCCACTGCTATCAGAATCATGCCTCTTCCTTTTTTGATTCTTTTATTCTTCAGTAATGCCATGATTTGCTCATGTCTTTTGATTTGACGTAGTTCCAAAATGACATAATTCTTCCAAACTCTGACCTTTCTTCCTCTAATATCTTTTTTGTACTACTTCAATCAGGTTAGAAATAAGTTTGTCTCTATCTGGTTTAGTTGATCTTCTAATATTTTTGAAATTTATTAATTGGATCGTTATCACTATCAGTGGAAACCGATGGTGACAAATTTTCTTTGATGAGCTTGGACAGTTTTTATTATCACTTCTGATAGTAGTATCAGTACTTGTTTCATATGTTTTTTTTTAATGTTGTCTATTATTATTGGTGGGTTAAATTTATCTTTATACTGGAAAATTTCCTCCATTTCCTCTAAGAATGGTGGTTTTAAAACTTTTACCCTCGCCAGTTTGGTGTTTTTTGTCTTTGTATTTTACATATGTTGCCTGCAGATTAGAAAATTTTTACGGCACCTTTTAGCTCCGTCAATACTTTCACCAACAAAAAATTTTTTTGAATTTAAAATGGTTGGCGATTTCCTGCCATAAATGAATTTTTGGGTGTTTTTGGTCATCAAACTTGCTGGAGAACTTCTTTCTCATATTCAATAATAAAATAGTTGCCTCGAGCATCTTCTGGACGACGATTTCTTTGAAGTCCATACTAATGAATTTGTTATTTCTTGTTGAGTCCTAAAGAGAAATGCATATGTGTAGAACTTACACCAAGCTCTAAACGTATGAATAAGTACCTACATTGTTTGTGTCTAGCTGCTGCTGAAAATTCTTGAGATATCGCTGCTACGTTGTTTGTGTCTGTATTGTTCGAAAATATTTTAGATATCGCTGTTTCATAATTTTTTCTAAACTGTTCATCGCCTAAAATTGAAGAACAATTAACAACATTCAAAATTATGCTGTGGACACTGTGGTTGTACATACAGCTTTTTATCAATATAATTTTATATTTTGTTTCTGACATAAATCACTTACTTTCTAGTAATTCTGCCGTTTCCATCAACTTCGATAGTTAATCCATTTAAATTGTATGAGCACATTACAGTTTTTTGAGACATTTTTTTAATTTTTAATGGCGATAATCCAAACCTTATAACCAGCTGTAAATATTCCTCAATTTCCAAATTCATTGACAGATTTGACATTAATCGCCCTCCCACATTCCGCTTAAGACTTTATAAGCGCTCTCTTTAGAAGGCTAGTTACCGCTTAAAGACGCTTTAAGCCCGACGTCATTACTTATTCGCTCGAATGTGAGAACTGTCACCCGCTTACAGCGTCTTATGCGCAAAAAATTCGCCTAAAATTTCTTATTTCAGATGTTCTAAATGTGAGTGCATGTCAAAAATTTAAATATATACTTGAAATATTTCATGTTATATGCTTTGACATTTTTTGGAAGTAAACAAATATTGAAGAAAGTGTTGTGCCTTCACAGAATTTAAATTGGCATTAGGAATAGATTTCCTTGATTTAGTAATGATATTGCTCATAGAAATTGATAATGTGAAGAATAACAATACAGGAACATAGAATAACAAGAAAGAAATTCTAGCAGCAAGTTAGGTTATGAGATAAATTTTATTTATATAGTTTGTTTAAAGAGTTTAGTTTGAAAAAAAGGTAAAACAATTATTATTGTCCAGATCATATTTGATAACTGTTGTTAATTGATAACATATTACAGGGACACAGTAAAAAGACAAAACATTTAGACCCTTGAAAGAGAAATGTTTGCAATGGATATTAATAAATTCTAGCCAATTTGTATGATGTACAATGCAGGCAATATTTCTGCCTCTTAATGCACTATTCGCGTAAAAGAAGATGTGGGTATTGTATTTATAGGTAGTTAATGATATATGGAATATATTTCTATATTATTGCAATAACGATGTCTTTATGTTGTATTTTTTTAGAACAGATTTATTATTAGTTGGCTAGTGTGTTAGTAGGATAGCCATTAGTAGTTATAAAGTATGAAGTCGTCAGGTATTAATAATAGGAATTGATCAAAGCTTATACATTTATTGTGATATTTATATTGTGAATTTAAGTAGTTAGTTTTGGTTGTTTAATAAACGAATTAATATGCTTATTGTGTGTCTAATTAAAAGAACAATGAAAAGTTGAATACCATAGGGGTACGTATGTTATACAAAGAATTTGCATTAACATTTTTTTGGTTATATACTTGTACTGATGTTTGTTTCTTGAACTAAAGAATTATGCTATTGGTAGGTAGCTATTGGTAATTAAATTTTTTATCTAATATAATATCTAACATCAGAAATATTGTTAATTATCACTATAAACAACTAAGAACTAGAATTATCAACTATAAACAAAATATAATATACTGTATCTTAAGCAATATGTCATTATTTTAACAATTATTTTTTTGGGAAATAAAAACTGGTACTAAATTCTTTTTGACTATTTAATTTCTAAGTCACAAATAATGGTGGACAAATAGCAAGAAAATTATACAAGTAAAACATAATTTTAACTTATTTCTCTAATGGAATTTTGGTATTGATCTACTTAGTAGGATATGCAGTTTATCATATTTTTGAATATTTATATTCAATATTGTTCAGGAACAGCCCAATTACTCTGAAAAAAAAATATATGGTCAAATTCTTTGAAAAGAAACTTTTAAAATCAGTAATGATAAAAAAATATATAATTGTTGTATAGCAGAACCAGGGGACACAGAATTAGGGGAATTAACAATAGATTATTAAAAACTGCCTTCTCTTAAAAAAGTAGTATTATATGCACTTAGAAAGACTATAAAGGATATAAGTACGCATAGAAAGAAAGTAAGTATCTATACTACTGATATATATATATAACTATATATGAATACGATACCTACAGTATACAATATTACTAGTATAAAAATAACAGCACAGTCGGCACACTTTAAAATAAAAAAGCAGCATAATATTCAGGTATGTATAAAAGTAAAATTTTCTCAAAAATATTAGAATATGAAATAAATTGCAACTAAATTTTAATTAATAAACATAAACAAATAAAATTGTCAGTGTTATTAAAACTTTATGTAAATATATGTTACCTTAATACTTTGTCTTTAATCCTACTCTTCTGACATGGCTTTTCAAACTTATGCCCAAATCTCAATTCTTGTTATTAAGAATAATATTTATGAACTTTTGTTTCCATATTAATTTCAATATATTTGAATAAAACTGGAAAAATAATCAATATTGGCACTTGAAATTTTAACTTCTTATGTCCTTAAATTATTTATATTGTGTTATACATAATACTTACATAAATATTCAATTTAAAAATAGATCAGCACTTGAACGAGTGAATATAAAATAGTATATTATCAATTTCTATGAGCAATATTATTACTAAATCAAGGAAATCTATTCCTAATGCCAATTTAAATTCTGTGAAGGCACAACACTTTCTTCAATATTTGTTTACTTCCAAAGGGCAAAGGGTATAACTTGAAATATTTCATTGTAATTCTACACGTCTAAAAAGATATAATAACATTTTTCTCACTATAGAGCGAAATTTCTTTGCGGCTTCAGATACAAAACTTGCGGATTTCCATACATCGAAATACAAAATAAGATATTATTTATTAGTAGACAAATACCAGAATATAGAAGGCCAAACCAAACCTCTAGGAAATAACTTTAAAATAAATTATTTATTCAAAAAACGTTTGGATTTTGGATCTATAATATCTAAATAACAATCTTATCACATTTGTCAGTGAAATGAGTGAAATGAGTCAAAAAACATAGGTTACCGTCAATTTATATGTTTTCAATTTCAAATACTCGATGCCCATTGGTCGTGACGAAATCGACTTCCTCGACAAAATACGGCACGTTTTTTTTGGGCCAGTCGAATATCCTTATTCTATATATCCTTGTACGTACCCTATCGTTGGGTATTGTGCAATCACGTGATGCTCATGTCGTATGACGGTTAAATCTTTGGTTAGAATTTTTGTTGTTGTTTTTACCTGTTTACAGTTTTTACTTTATTTTTCTATTTACATCAGATTTATATTTTGTAATTGCCTATCAGACAATACGTATTTAGAAAAATAATAAGAATTAGGATCGTGTTTTTTTTTAAATCCTGGATATTAATTGGAACCCTTGATAACATTACTGCTTTTGATATAAAAAGTGCATTTTTGATTATTTACTTGGGCTAGGATATTAAAATATCGGTTGGATTGTACGACATAAATAGATGTAGGTATGATTATTTATATATATGTATGTATTTATAAAGCTTACTATCTGATTTGCATTTTCAGTTTTTGATCAGATATTTCATTTTATTTGTGAAATGCCCACAAAAAAGCTTCCAATGATTCAACATCAGTGTGTTTGCTGCATAATGGATCATTCCTGCTGAATTTTTAGATCATTTGAAGACTACACGGAAAAAACCAGATAATATGTTACATTTTCATAGAAATTGATAGCGAGACAATTTTATAGGCAAGGTTAGCATTATTCGAGGCACCATCAAAGAAAGCAATAATAATATGCTTAGTCCCAGAGATATTACAGCTTAGTTATTTTGCCCTACAGGAGAAAAACCAGAGTAGTTCACTCGTAATTGCATTTTCTCGGCTCCAGTTAAAATGAACAAAGCTGGTTTTTCCTGTGGTCTTCATTTGAAATAACGTAAATAAATGTTTATACATATGTATGTGATGATTAAATTGGTGTTAAGGAATAAAAATGTCTTTCGATATTAATATATATTTTTCGATATTAATATATACCTAGGTATAGGTATATGTATATTTATTTTGAAATAAATTACACTTTTAACAGTTTAATGGAGTTTTTAAAGCCAGTTATAATATTTATATTTTAAAAACTTGAAATCATAATGTGGATGTAATCACGCATTAAACCACAGACTAACTTATATAAGTCAAAAAGTAGATTTTAGTGTTAACTTTATATAACTTGTAAGTAAAATAATATATAAAACAAATATGAAAAAACCAACAATTCTAATGTATATATTAAAATACAGTACAATAATAGGTATCTGATATCCTCACTTAACGTAGAATAATATTCTACCCAACTCAATACTATGTCCAACATGAGTTTCAAATATATCGGGCCCTAATCGTTCCTGAAAATAGTATTTTTTTACATTGTTATACCATATTCTAAACTATTTAATATTTCAGTCACTTAAAAAGTTAATTTGTATTGAATAATTGCCTACCATTAAAGCAAATTTGGACTAGTATTCTTAATGGGCATATTCTGTGTATGGATATAGGTACTTCCTCCAGATTTTGGGTTCAACCAATTTATTCTTAAAACCTGAAACATCTACATATAAAAAATAGACAGGTTACTAATTATAATAAAATTTGCCCTTAGAATTACTTCTATTGCAAGCAATTTCCATTGGTATACTTTTCCATGACAAATGATCAACTTCCTAAAATTTTCAATTGATGTAATACTTCCTCATGATGCGAAAAGAAAATCTTTTCGTTAGCACACAATGGACAAACGATATGTTGGCTTACTTTCAGATTAGTTACTTTTCCATAGATATCCTCATGTCAATTCAAAGACGATGAACATGATGATCATCACATGAAACATCACAAACTAAAAACCTAATAAACAAGTTTATATCGAATATAGAAATAAATTTAGTGTTCTTACCTATTGTCGTCCAAATCCACGTTAATAGATAATTAATTTTTTGGAATTTTATCTTTTATTTTTAAATATATCTTTCGAACTACTGGTTTTAGTAATTATTAAATTAAACGAACTAAAAAGTCAAAAATAATAAACAATTCTCTTGTCAATTGTCAATTTTCTCCAGGCACCGAACATTATCGATAACGCACGATCTACGACGATTACTCCTTTGATCTGATTGGACCGTTCAATGACGGTTGGTTGCGTATTTTAATGTATCCTCTACTGAAGCAGGTAAGTCAAATTAACGTATCTAAATTCTTTGACATCTAATCTTTGACAAGTAATAAATAAAAGCTAAAATGCAAGAAAAATATATAATTTAGTTAATTTAAGTGAATTTCATAAATGATCGGTTTACTACACGTATGTATATTATATAGTCACTTACTAGCGAAAAGTTGTTCCATTATTTCACTCAATTTTTGCCGAGATCTACCGCACGCTACACAACTAACTATTTTAGAGTCTTTTTCAATAAATCGCGATAGTGTCACTGTTAATTTAGTTCTACCCACAATTTCCATCTGATTTACTACCTTTATACAACTATCAATTATTAGAGATAAATAATAAATAACTTATAAAATAAGCTCCGTAAAGACCCAACAAATCCACAAAAATTTCAAAATCAAATTCAAATGTGTCAAATGGTCAATTAAAACAGAACTGTCAAAGGTCCCACCTAGAGAGCTTTTATGGTGGCTTTCAGGGTTCAAAGGAAAACTACATGTTACTTTTAAGAAACTACATAAACTGGCTACATGTAGTTAATGTAGTTTATGTAGAAAGTGTAGTTTATGTAACTTATGTATGTACTCAAATTTCAAGGTTTGGGGTGAGGGTTTTAATAAGTTGAGCTTTAAAAGTACATAGTGTATTTAAAGAAACAAGAGAAATATGGCTTTAAATATAATATTTACATCATATTATCTCTATTACACACCTCATTACAAAGGAAAATTATTTATAATATCAATGCATAGTTTATTAACGTAGTTTTTTCATGTAGCTAATGAACGGGAAAGAGACGTAGTTTTTGAAGAAAACTACACGTAGTTAATCAGGTAAAATTACCTCTTAATTAACTACTTCCAGACCTAGTGGCTTTTCCACTTGGGGGGTGACAGTAAACCGGAAGGAGGTGGAAACAGTTGTGGCTTGGTTCTGGGCAGAAGCATGGCAGCCTTCTAGACTGTCCTAGACAAAATCTAGATATTTCTATATGATTCCTGTCCAATTTCTGCTACGGAACATTTTATGCACGTCCGGCGTCCTATTCTTTGTCTTTTGTCTGTGTGTCATGCGTCAGTGTCACTGTTAATTTAAGTTCTGCCACAATTTCCATCTAGATTTACTACCTTTATACAACTATCAGTAGTAGAATAAATAATAATAAATAACATAAAATAAGCTCCGTAAAGACTGACAAATCCACAAAATTTCAAATCAAATTCAAATGTGTCAAATGAATCGTTAAACAGAACTGTCAAGGATCCCCACCCTAGAGAGCTTTTATGGTGGCTTTTCCGCCCACCATGCATGAATACATGAGGGCTTTTCGGAAACTGTGATCTGATTGATCGGATTGATAGGATTACTAATCCAGACGTTCGAAAAGTGATCTCAAAACGAGTCAATGCGTTCGGAAAGTGATCCGAATAACTCGATTTTTGCCATATGTTGTGATCCTACTAACCCTCCTAATGAGGTGGGTAGAATTAATCAGCTGATCATTTCTAGGATAATTTTAAACGTAACGGTCCGCATAGAAGTATAAAGTTTTTTAATAACCGTTTTGTCCGAAATCACTTTATCTAATGTTGATCAAATACATGATATTTTGTTAGTGACCGTAAAAATGAGCCAATCAGCATAGCATCAAGTAACTCTAGATTTTAAATAAATAAAAAACCAACAAGTAATTCTAAAGATACTGACTGCGAAAAAGCACTATCGGAGACACCCAATAGGAAAAAAATGAAAACTCAACTACAGAAAAGTGGTTTAAAACATTTAGATTAAAATAGCCAGGCATAATGAAAGAATGGAACTTGATAGACAATTCTGAAAATTTTCATCACAATTGGTAGATAAAAATTGATATATTTTTTTATTATTAATATGATGGAATGTTTATTATGTTGGCAGTAAATAAATGATTAAAATAAAGTTTATAGTGTTTTTGTTTTAAATGGCATAATTTTAAAAAAGCCTAAAATAAAACACATTTTGTTTTTATAAAAAATAGTCTTACAGAAACTAAAAAGTATACTTAAAGCAAAACAAATAGGATAAAAATAGATCTTATACAATCGTTAAAGAGGGATATTAGGATTATTTGTTTATTTATCTCTCTTTTACGAAATATATTTAAATGTGATTGTTAACCCGGTAAATCTAATGATCCAACCGTTCGTAATTAAACTACCAGCTGATTACTCTCAGCACTGATCTTGGAACAGCTGATTAGTAAACTACCTAATCTAGGATTTTATTTCCGAAAACCCCTATGGATAGCATCAGGTGGATGACACTTCTTATGGGAGAACTGGAAATGGTTGAAAACTTGACTACAAGCGATTTTCTAGGAATCTTCCTTACCGATAAATTATTGACAAGAGTGACAGATAAAACCTTGACATTCTTTCAGTATAACTGTTCATATCTTTTTCTTTCTAAAGTGTGCGTTGAAAGGAGACAAAAACAATTTTTTGTAACCCATAATTTGTTATTCGAACACCACTTTTCTCCTTGTCGGGTCGTTGACGTTGACTTGTCGCCATTTTATTTCTTTTGTTTACACGCTGCATTTTGCTTTGCAAATTTAATACATAAATTATTTAGGCAAATATATAGGTTTTTAATAAAACTCCTCGGACTAACGTGTAGGTAAGTGTTGATAATTTTTTTTTCATCTTAACATGCTCATTGTCGTTCTCCTGATTTTAGGTGACAGAAAAGGATCATCAAATCAAATTGAATTTTATATTTTCCTTCCTATTTATCCTTCCTAAATATCAACGAGATGAGCCATCGGAAGAAAGGGACCATAGTACAAAACAGAAAGGTGATCTTTTTTCTTTCCACTTCGGATATTGAAATTATTATATACTGTAGTCGTGTTCGGCATTATGCTCTGAGAAATATAGATAAACAAAGAACAACAGATATAAAGCATCCCAGAGGAAAAGAGAGGCAATACCTGTATGTACTCTCTCTGATATTTGTGAAAGTTACAGCAAAGTATTGTTGTAAATGTCATCTTTTTGATCGACCTGAAAACTTCGAGCAAAAAGATGACACTTTCAACAATACCCTGACAGATATCAGAGACGATACAGGTTTTTCCTCTCTTTTCCCCTGGAATACTTTTAATTTATTATTCTTTGTTTATCTAGATTTCTCAGAGCACTATGAACGAACTCAGCTTGTATGTTTGAAATAATCGTCCAGTTGGCTTAAAAATGATGATCGAAGACATTTCCCATATAATTTTACTTTCAAAATTATGATATATCTTTTATTTCTAAGCCATCTATGACGCCATTTTTTTCAGTTTTGTTATAATTAATTTTGTCTCTTGATCTACTTGTAACATTATTCTTTTAATTTTATTAATTTATTGTGGTGAAATTAATTTCTGTTGTATATTTGATATTGATATTAAACATATTTTTAAAAAATGGTGTATTTTTTGTGTTTTTGTGTATGTCATAATTAAAAATAAATGAAAATTAAAATTTTTTATTTTTTTAAACTTCCCGCCATGCGTTACAATCTAGTCCGTAGTTCCTACAAGCGATATTGGGGGCGCTAGTAGCAGTAGACTTGTCAACAGTGTCAAATTTAAACGTCAATTTCACTTTCCAATATTTAGCAAGGCGCTCGCACTTCTCCTTGTGTATGTGTTTTGTGGATAGCATTATGCTCCTTCCTAATGGTGGGTTCATACAGCCAAATAAAATAAAATAAGAATAAAATAAAATAAAATAAGAAAGTTGGTTATATGGGATACCGTACATGCGTTCATACAGCCAAAGAAAATAACAAATAAAATAAGAAGTCTTTATCTTTTAACTTCTTGTTTTATTTTATGTGTTATTTTATTTTAAACGGCTTTGCGGACGCTTAATTCTAACCTACAAATATTTTCAGTTTGGATTTAATTTATTTTATAATTTCACATAAGTAAAATATATAATATAGTAGGCAACGAATAAATAAATATACTATAAATGGTAAAATTACTATAAACAATCGTAAAAGTTAACTTTTATCCAGCCTCATCGTACTGCGCATGAGCAAATATATATTTCTTATTTTATTTTATTTGACTGTATGAACGCACACAAATAAGAATTCCTTATTTCTTATTTTATTTTATTCTTAAGCCCCGTTCTCAGAACTGCGTCGTGTCGACAGCGACACTGATTGACACTTCAAACGACCAATGGGAGCTGTACTAAATTTAAAATTGACAGCTGTTTGAATTTTGTACAAATCTGATTGGTTCTTTTGTCGTGTCGCTGGCGACAGTCGCAGTTCTGAGAACGGGGCTTTATTTTATTTTATTTGGCTGTATGAACCCACCATAGTCTTCTTATTCAAAGGCCCATTTAAAAAGATTTAAAAACATAAAATCATATATATCGGCCTTGTGGTCGAAATGATTGCGCCGCATTCTAGTAGACGCAAGGTCGCCGGTTCGATTCCGGCCTCGGACATGGGTGTTAAATGTGTGTGTGAAGCCTCGTTCTCAGAACAGCGAGTGTCGCCAGCGACACGTCAAGAGAACCAATCAGATTTGTACAAAATTCAAACAGCTGTCAATTTTAAATTTAGTACAGCTCCTATTGGTTGTTTGAAATGTCAATCTGTGTCGCCCGCGACACGACGCAGTTCTGAGAACGGGGCTTGAGTCTGTATTTGTCCGATTTTAAACGCTAATTAAATATTAAGAAATAAGCTGGCTGAATAGACAAGTGGTCAAAAATAGAAAAAAAAAATAAAATCATATATAAATGGATAATAGATCTACTGTCCCATGTAACATATGATTCTATAAAACCAAGAGGGCAGTAAGAGGGTAGTACCCTATTATTAGCCCGGATAGTCTTAGTAGCTTAAGCCTATAAATAATTAAAAAAGAAGATTATGGTATTCTTCTTCTTCGTTTTTTAACCTTAATTTAATATTTAATGGTTGACGTTGGCCGTTGGCGACGACGATAAAAACATTCATTAATTTTTCATATCTGTTTTAAATTGTTAAGCAATTTAAAAAATGTTGACTACATGAGGAAAGGTACATAAACTCGTTTGACTAGTTAATTAATATTCTTGCGTTTTAAAACTACTTTTTTTGTTCTAAACAAGCAGATATTTCACTTACCCACATTAGATATAGGTACATGCCAGAATTAGAACATTTATTAGTTACTTTTCAGTAATTTGAGGAAATTTATCTATAGCGCATAAAATTTACGATGAATGAAGCCTTTGTAGAAATAAATAAAGTTAGAACAAAAGTTGTTACATGGGGAAGATGGATAGAAGAAGCCCAAAAGGACACAAACAAAATAATAATATTTATACCAGGTAATACATATTTTTATCTAATAAGGTATATCTGTTGTTACAATCAGGTTCAATAAAATTAAAAATAAAATTGGTAACTGTCAGGCATTTTAGAACTTGTGTTTTTTTGAGCTAATAACATTTAATATTGCAAATTAGGTAGAAAAACAAATTTATTATAACTACAAATTTTGTAACAACCACCTTTATTAGTAAATTGTTTAATTTGTGTGGCTTATATATATTTTTTTGAACTTTGAACCTATTAGTATTTAATAAATTTAGTATTGCAAAGATCAATGTTCAATTAAATTGTTTAAGATTGAATCTGTATTATTTATATTTTATATATAGGTAATCCTGGTGTTGTAAGTTTTTATAATAAATTTGCACAAACACTGTATGAGAGATCTGAAATACCTGTGTGGTGTGTGGGTCATGCTGGACATAATTTTGCTGACAAATCAATAACTACTTTTCCTAAATTTGAAGACCATAAATCTTTGTATGGATTGAAAGGTCAGGTGGAACATAAGGTAAGAGAATATATTATCTGATATGATCCTTAATTTGTTATAAGAAGCAGTTCGTTTTAGGTTGAATTTTTTAAAAAGTATGTACCGCAGGATGCCAAAATATACCTTGTAGCTCATTCAATTGGATCATATGTTTCATTGGAACTGCTCGAACACCCTGATATTAAAAATAGAATTGAAAATGTTTACTTATTGTTTCCTACAGTTGAGCATATGGCAAATACCAAAAATGGAAAATTTTTGAACTTTGTGAAATGTTTTGTATCTATATTGCTGTTTCTATCATGGATCTTTACATTGTTGCCAACAATGCTTTCCGCACTTTTGTTATACATTTATACGTACATTGCAAATGTACCATATAATTTACATTCTGAGAGTATTAAAGAATTACTCAAACCAGGGATTCTTCGACGAGTATTCTTTTTAGCTTATGAAGAAATGGATCAAGTTAAAGAGAGAAATAGTGCAGCTATTAGGGAAAACGTTAATAAAATCAAGTTCTATTATGGCAAGACTGATGGATGGACTCCTGACAGTTATATTAATAAGTTAAAACAAGATATACCAAACGTAGATGTAGAAATTTGTACATTTGACCACGCATTTGTTTTTAATTATAGTACTGAAGTGGGTGCCACTGTTGCCGATTGGATATTGACGAAAAAATAATTAATATTATGTTATTTATTGTTTATTAAATGATTATAGAGTTCATATATACTAGTTATCTTCTATATGTTATTGGATAAATTTATCTTGGTTGAATAATTAACTATATTTTATACATTTATTTATTTTATTTTTTCCGTAATGATATTCTTCCAGTTACTTTAATGATTCTTATTGGGTGCATAATATTTATCTATTGTACCTCTGATTTAACAGATACATTTTAATTTTATTTAAAAAAAACATTTTAATTTGTTTTTTATGAACAAAATTTACATTGAATTTACGTAAAAAAAATTAAAACTGATTTTTCGTTACCAAAATATTAATAAATACAATATGTGAAAAAAAAAAACAAAGCAACTAGGTATACCAAATATACAATAAACTTGATCTTACCTCCACAACCAAATCATAGTATTTAACTATGTTGTATAATTTTAAGTTTTGTAAAAATTATATAATTTTAAGTCATTTAGACTTAAAATTATGACCACATGTGCCACAACTCTCTACTTCAACTCTGCTTTTAAATTTTAAATGGCCGTAAAATTTTGATCACACAGTATCTGGTACCACAGAGTATTTCCACCAAATTGGAGCAGAGAGCAGAGATCCGTGGAGCAGAGATATAGACCTTGGAGTTGTTTTTAGAAGCGACCCATGTCAATATATTTGTAATATATATCAAGCCCCGTTCTCAGAACAGCGACTGTCGCCAGCGACACGTCAAGAGGACCAATGAGATTTGTACAAAATTCAAACAGCTGTCAATTTTAAATTTAGTACAGCTCCCATTGGTCGTTTGAAGTGTCAATCAGTGTCGCTGTCGACACGACGCAGTTCTGAGAACGGGGCTTCAGTGTCCAAAATATAATCAATCCCGTAGATCAATCTTTGTCCCCAGCATTTATGGATAAACATTGCAAATCTGTGAAGCTTTTTTACGTTTTTATATAGCGTAATTAGAAAACACTAAAAAACTAGATTTTCTACACGTAAAAAACTATTTTTTGGAGTCTGGGGGCCGCCAAATAGCATTATCGACTATATGGTAAAGTTTGTAACTTGCCCATCTCTAATGAGTACAAAATTTAATTTCCGACTTGGAATCTGTGGTCTAATTAATTTGATCATCATATATTTTCTTATGGTTGCTAAGTTGCTAACTTCAGGGAGTTGGTTATCAAATTTGATTTGCTTCTTTTCGAAATTTTAAAATAGTTGAAGGTAGGCAAATGGAGTTTTTTTATTAAATCTTCAAACATCTTCTCATTAAATTACTATTTTTTCAAATAATTATTATTGTAACACACAATATTCTTGTGTGGTTTAAATTTATTATATATTTTAACAGAAATCTTGCCACAAAACTAAATATTTGTTTTGTTTTGCAGGTTAAGATCCTTCTTCATAGGACGGAAAATGGTAAGTCTTTTATACAAATTGTTTATATTTCATATTGTATCTAATTATTTACGATTGTGCACTAATTTTTGTGCTTTTTTCAGCCTAGAGAAATAACAGAAATCAAGGAATTCCTTCTTACAGCTAGAAGGAAAGACGCTAAATGTAAGTGTATTAAATTTTAGTAGTATTTTACAAGCCTCTTATGTGAATTATTTGCAGCTGTTAAAATTAAGAAAAACCCAGAGAACACAAAATTCAAAGTCCGTTGTTCACGATTTCTTTATACCCTTGTTATAACTGATAAAGAAAAAGCCGAGAAACTAAAACAATCTCTTCCACCAGGTTAGTTAGGATTTTAATTTTAAAATGTATTCAATCATAAACCTTTAATTTTTTTAGGGTTACAAGTAAAAGAAGTAAAGTAAACAAGTGAGAATGTATTTTACTTTTTTAACTTAATATATTGTAATTATAAGATACATGAGCTTTTATTTATTACACATTATCTGGTGATATGTGAGCTGGAAATATATGTTCTAATATCGAATTTATTATCTTCATGTTCAGAGTCTGATGTGTCTGCATCCATAAATTCATACTGAAGCTTTCTTCTTTTTCTAAAATAGAGTTTTTATTTTTTATTATAAACCAAACCAACAATTATTCTGTATCACCTTTGTTTAAGATTTTTTGATATTTTATTACATATAAGTTTAACACTTAGCCCAATAATTGTTAATGAAATTCCTATAGCTAAAGCATACAGAAATGTATCAATAATATTGTATTCAGTAGGATTTTCAATTTTTGGTTGCAATGGTTCTAGGGCAAGTATTGCTGATTCAGTGCTAGAAAATTAGTATTTATTTAACTAGTTTCAACATAAATGGTAATGTACCTTAATTTTTCAGTATAATCTATGATTTCTTTATTTATGGCATTTTCCAAGTCTATTCCTAATTGGCGAAACACTATTTTGCCTAACCAATCTGCTAATTCAGTTTTTCCCATTTGTCTCAGCCTATGTTCTAAAACTTCATGTGTTTCACCTTTACCTTCTCCTTGCTGTGCGTTCCAGTGATGGAGGTGATCAATACATAATATATCTTTAGGAACTTTTCTGTCTGGTAATTTTTTAATTAAAAATTTGATTGAATAATAATATCAGTTATACCAGCTTTGTCAAGTGCATTAGGTTCTTCAAAACCATGAAAGTGTGCAGCTGCCACTAATCTGCGACATTCTTCTGGTGTTAAGTGATCTGCAAGGTACTGTAATTCAGCTGTATTTAAATCTATTGTTCCAATCACTATATTATAAATAATAGTTAACAAGTAAAGTATCAAATACATGTATAAATTATCCTAAGGTTTATTTTCTAATGTCAGAATTTTGACATAAGTACAAGAAGGGTACAAGTGTACAAGTAAAATTGTCATGTAAAATTGTGTTGGTCATTTAATGCTAATTAAAAAGTTGTATCCTGATATTTTTCGATTTTGATCTCCTTGATGAGATAAACGCAATTAAAATCATTAATCACAATAAAATAAAAATAAGTAATTTATTTAATCTAATTTATTATTAAAATTTATAAATGATGTTTAGTGCTACCCTTGCTATATCTACAGCAAATAGTAGAAGTAGTAAAAAATAAAGACATTTAAGATAATTACAAAAGACTTAGATATTGCAAAATAAAACACTAATTCACCACAATACACCGAAAACTTTACTGTTGCACTGGAGGCGCGTTTCGCTAACTATGTTAGCATCATGTCATGTCATCAACAGATGATTAAAACTGGTTTTTTGATCTGAGTTTTAATCATTTGCTGTTGATATTAACCCAAGTAAAGTGTTTTGGTGTATTGTGGTGAATTGGTGTTTTATTTTGCTATTGTAACACCAAAGGTTCCAACCCTTTAAAAGTTTTAACATCCTGTAACCCATGTTTATAGGAATTTATTTTCATACTTTTTGATAAGGAATCAATGAGTATTACTTTGGCCAGTTAATGATTAAATAGTCTGCACAATTTTGCTAATAAGATAAAAAATAGTCGGTGGCGTAGGTACATGTTTTTTTTTTAGAAAAAAATTCCAGTGATAACATAATAATAAGCACTCAAAAAAAATATAATAAATCGAAAAAAAAAGTCTTTAAACCCCTGCCACGAAAAAAAGCAGAATCGGACCTAGGTATGTTGATATAAGAAATAAATCTTATTTTTACGCGAGGAACCTCCCCACGAGAGATGGCACATGTTTTTTGAAACATCCTGTATAAAACTGCTATAAAACGTCGAATTTTGTCCCATGTATGGTATTGGTATTATATTTTGAAAATACTATATTATACAGGGTGGCGCCTCTCATACGCCGCAGATGCTCCCACGAGAACGCGGTAGTTTATATCGAAATGAAATTTTGGCAGCATATATGTAGAGGTTAACTGAAAGCATTTTATAAAAATATATAGAATTATACAGGGTGTCTCCAAAAAATGTTACACATCAAAGTTGTGTTTTTTCTAATGGAACACCCTATATATTAATTGATTTTCGGATTCTAGGAAAAAAAATAAAGGTGAGTTTTATAAAAGAAGTATATACCTAAAATCTAAAGATTTTGGCATATTTCACATTTTGTGTTTTATACAGGGTGAGAAAAAATTAATATGGAACATTATAGTCACTTTTAAAAGCAAGTTACTGCGTTATTTTAAATGGAACATCTAATATATTTTTCCGGTGTTCAATGGGGAATTTATATATCTTCAAAATATTATTAAGGTTGCCTGGCCCTCAGACAAAGCTAGATTTTTCTAGATATTTTAATTTTTATGATTTTGCGTCAGTAGATCTTTTATTTCCATGATTGTCTTTTCAATAGGACCTTTTCATTTTAAAAGGCATATGTGGAGTCCTACCTTTGTAGCTACTAAAGCAGCTACAATAATTTCTCTCATGTTGTCGACAATAGTTTATCGAGTTTTGTTATATCGAGTGTAAACACTGTCTTTAACATATTCCCATTAGAAAAACCGAGACTAGATAAAATCAGGAGCCTTTAAGTATTCTATTAATTGGTAAATGCACACTGCATTCACCAACTAATAGAATCATATTAATTTTTTCTCTGCTGTAGGATAAGTTTGTTTCCGAGATATTTTTTTGTTTTAACTGGCACAAAATGATAACTAATAGTTCTTAAATTTGGACAGCTAGTCTCACCCTGTATAACTTTTTGGATCAAGTTTTAATTCGATTAAAAGTGCAATAGTTAATTTAATTACATATTAGGTTACACCGGGTAAATTCCGATTTAGGTAGCTTTTATTGTAATTTAAAAATTGTTCTTTATTTCTAGAAAATGTTAAATATGCCAAAAACCATACATTTTAGTCATATACTTCTCTTATAAAACTCACTTTTATTTTGCTCCCAGAATCCGAAAACCAATTAATATATATAGGGTGTTCCACTACAAAAAACACAACTTTGATATGTTACTTTTTTTGGGGACACCCTGTAGAACTCTCTATATTTTAAAAAAAATGCTCTGAATTAACCTACATATGCTCACAAAATTTAATTTTAATACAAACTGCATTGTCGTTCTCCTTGGAGCTTCCGCAGCGTATGAGAGGCGCCACCCTGATGTATTTTCAACAATTATATCATTCGTTATGGTTATTATGTTATTATAGTAATAAAACAGTAAGACGGTTTTTAATTTGCTCTGTACTTCTCTAACATATTCTACACAAATGATTCTTTCACCAAATAATTATAATAAAGCCCTAAAACCGCAGCGCCTAGTCCAGTACTGTGATCATTGCATCCATCATCAAAGTAAGTCATGGCTTTTTTGACGCGCGATTTTAAGTTGTCTCCAAGTTTATCGGGAAAACAGCCAGTGCCTTTTTGGGCTTTGATTATATGATAAAGCCAGTTGCTTTGGAAAAATTCTTTGTAGCCCTCATATCCACATAACAAAACTAAAAAGTAAGAAATTGAAATGTAAATTATAGAGATGAGCAACAAATCGCAAACTTTGCGAGTTTCAATTTAGGCAACCAATATTACTATAGTTGCGATTTGCGATGTTGTGGCGATTTGCGATTTTGCTGCGATTTACGATTTTGTTGCGATTGTGATTTTGTAAACTAGGACCGTAATAACCAATGACTAAAGAATACAAGGACATGTAACGCCCATATACGGGCTGAAGCAGAATTTGTGACTTTAGACGCCATCATTTTGGAGCCTACGGATGAGTCACCACCTCGTCAACAACGACAATTTTAGCGATTTTTAATAATTTGTTGTGTGTAGTGAACTTTGTATCAACTTTATTACAATGGTGATGTACAGTACGTCTGTCCGTTCTGTAGCTACGGGGTATCCGTGAGAGGGGAAACGATATTCTCTCGATGTTTTTCGTAAAAATGAGACGACGCGTCCGATCAATAAAAATTCGACAAATTTGCAAATAGCCAATAAAATGGGTGGGCGGAGCGATTTGCGGTGACGTACTCGTCAAATCGACGTATAAAATATATTGCTGTTTATTTAAATGTTTTGTGTCCGCATTCCTTTCATAGACACGACATATCCAGCAGACGTACTGTACTTGATATATTCTATACAGTTCGTCTGCTGGATCTGTGTCTATGAAAGGAATGCGGACAAAAAACATTTAAATAAACAACAGTATATTTTATACGTCGACTTGACGAGTACGTCAGCGCAAATCGCTCCGCCCACTCATTTTATTGGCTACTTGCAAATTTGGCGAATTTTTATTGATGGGACACGTCGTCTAATTTTTTACGAAAAACATGGAGAGAATATCGTTTCCCCTCTCACGGATACTCCGTAGCTACAGAACGGACAGACGTACTGTACTTCGATACTAGTTTTGTACCTTTTGTTAACATTTTAATACGTTTTTTCGTAATTAATTAGTATGATACCACAGTCTACACCATAGGCGTAGTCAAAACATTTATCGAAAATATAAATATCCCTTCAAGGCGCTAACTTAAGAAAAATATATGGCCACGGCACTGTTTGGTGCCATGGTCACAATTTAGTCTCGGGTGTTATATGTTCTTGTATTCTTTAGTCATTGGTAATAACGTTCTATTTGCGAGTTTGAATTTTTAGGAGTTGCGATTTGCGATTTTGTGACGAATATAATTTTGTGGTCCATTGAAGCATTAAATTTTATAGTAAACTGCGATTGAATGTTTTCTCTATTTTATTTATTTATAGGGAAGGTATTATTTTTTTAGGGCCAAGATCATAATATACCGGGTGTTTGTTAAGAGTGGTTCGCCTCTATAACTTTTTTATTTTTTCTCATAAAAAAACAGATTTGGTATGTAAGCATACGACATAAATTAGGATTGATTGACGTATTCAATTCGTTTCGATCACTTCCTGTTTCACCGGAAATGACTACAACTTTTGAATTTTAAATGACACCCTCAGTATTTTTTTACTTTTTTCGATACAATATGACACTCTATGATGCCTAGTAAAATATTAAAATCTCTATCGCTGGTGACAGTCGCAGCGATTTAAAAATCGCAATCGCTGTTTCAATTGCGATTAGAGAATCGCAGTTTTGCTGATCTCTAGTAAATTATACAGGAGTAAAATATAGATTTATAAAAACCTTGCTCTAAAAACAAATCAAACACTCCATCAAGTCTATTAAGATCCATTATATGAACTATTTCTGTGAGTATTATCGAACAAATATCTTTGTTTTGTACTTCATATAATTCTTCATCTATGCTGCATTTTCGCGCTTTAGCTATTTGCAATAGAAGTAATCTGTAAACAACAAATTTAAGATTTATTGAAATACGTTTAGAGTACCTACATAGTGAGGCATCTCGATGCGATACTCGCCGCGATGTATTCTACGCGCACGTTTTAAGCACTGTTTTAAAACGGCGAGTAATTTAAGTGCGCGTACGATGCATCGCGGCGAGCATCGCATCGAGATGCCTCACTATGTAGGTACCCTTACAGTTATTTTAAAATTTACGCATTTAAGATATCTTTCTTACTTGTGGGTTTGAATATATCCTGATCCTTTCCAATCTTTTAAAAAGTAGTTCCAACATTTTTTCGATATCATACAGGGCATGGGTTTGTTGTGAATGAATTGTGTATTGTTGACAATTTCAAGTAAGCAGACATCTGTATTGGAATAGTCAAAGAAATTAGGTGATCTACCAAGAGAAACTGGTAATTTCGGATATTTTAGACGTAGGAGGTTTTTGGGTTTGTATTTCATTCGTTTGGACCAAATATCTTCGTCGACTAGGTATTTAAATTCTAGAAATGGTGTATTAATTAAAATTTTATATGATGTTCATAATAGATTCATACTCCAATCATTTCCATTCTTTGGATCTTTTCCGAAAATAGTTCTACTCTGTTCAATAATTTGTGCACTTTTACTGAAGATGTTTTGTGTACTTTTATCCATAATGTGCGAGCCATTTTGATACGCATCTCTCATAAAAGCTGAAAGAAAAAAATATTTTTATTAAACAAGTACGTACCTATATGGTTTAAAGTTATTAAGATATATTTTAATAATTAATTATTAAGATACTAGTTGAAGCCTGGCGCATCCGCCCTGACATAAGGAAAAAAAATACTTTTTATTTTTTTTTAATTAAATCAAAAACAAAAAATCCGGCGACGACAGTTTTTAGAAGAGCCAATTAGCTATCTTTTAGTAAAAAAAGCAACTTTCTAGAGCCAGTCGTTACTTCAGTAGAGACGACACAGATAAACATTAGCATTTTATATATGTAGATATTAAGTTTATTTAAGATATATTTTTAATAGGGGACAGTTTAAAAGAGTGCTATACCTGTAATGTAAAAGGCCAGCAAACTACAATTTTTGATTTACCTTGTTCTTTTTGAGATTTCTAATAACATAGATTTTTTAATAGTCAGTCTACGTCACAGGTCTACGTATAAATTGCTTGTGTCGTAATAGTAATAACCCATAGAGCGTTGTATCCTTCTTTTAGTACGAAATTCCCACAACGTTTACTATGAAATTCACAAAACTTAAGATTTTTTAATTTTATACAGGGTGTCCCAGAAATAAGTGCAAGTATTTTAACTGGTAGTATAGTTCAACCCCAGAAACACGCCTATGAGGTTTTTTTCGCGAAAAAAATTGAAAATTCGAAATTTTTTGAAAACATTTTTGGAATTTTTTTTAGTTTTTAGTTAAAAAACCCTAATTTCTTGATAATATGCCAACATAGATATTAGATTAAATTTACAAGAAAGAAAATCCAGAAAAGATCCAGTGATTCCCAAAATTTTAGCAAAAAATCATTTTTTGGAAATTTTCGAAGTAAAATAACTCCGTTATTTTGGACTTATTTGGAAAACTATAAAGAGAAAATATGTTTCTTTTATCGAGATCTACCACCCCTTAAAATACTTGCACTTATATCTGGGACACCCTGTATATTCGAAATTCATAAATTTATTTTATTTTGAAAACCCTGTAGCATCTAATTCAAATGTCTTCACATTTATATATGTCTCTATAAAATTCTTCTACCAAGTTTGTAGACCAACTTCAGAAACAACAGAGCTACTGACAGTTTTTTACCATATTGAAATCATTTTTTTTTAATTGAAATATATTTATGTATTACACTAACTACTAGTTTTAAATATATAATATCATAAATAGAAAAGCTATAGAATTTTTGTCGCCAGTCTATAAATAAATTTATAAATCATGTTATATCTGGCATACTTTTTTGGAGCACCCTGTATACTTATAGTTAATTTTAAATTGGATATATTAATATTCCCTAACTTTTCTATTTTACATTATCATATTTTTATGTTTAAATATTTACATTTAGTTGTACCATACTTTAAAAAAACGGCGTCAGACATGAATTGGAAATTAAGATCGTTGTCATTTTACGTAAAATTATATGGGGAAAGAAAACTGTTAATTTCATTCAAACTTAATACTTAACTATACCGGGTGTTTTTCAAAAGTGACCCACCCCAATAACTTTTTTTAGATTAAAAAACGATATTTTTTTATTTTAGTATATGACATAAATTAGAAATTGAATGACGTATTGATTGACGTATTCAATTGTTTTTGGTCACTTGCTGATTCACCGTAAATGACTACAACTTTTGATTTTTAAATGGCACCCTGGGTATTTTTTTACTTTATTCCATAGAAAATGACACTCGGATGTTAAAACTACTAATTTTTAATAAAGCATATTCGGAAAAAGCATTTTTTATGCATAATTTGGTACCACAAACTTGTCATTATGAACTGAAATGAATTTAATAAATAATGAAATGAAATGAATAAGAGTAAAACAATACATTGACAAAATTATTTTTTAAAATGTATCCTACTAATCCACTACATATTTTTAAAGAATAATAAAGTAGTAGTATTTATGGAAAAATCATATACAAAGACTACAGTAGATCACATATTTTTAAGAAACATTTTGTACCTCTAACGAATGCTACTCCAAGACTGCAATCGACATTACTCTTGTACAAATTTTTCTCGATATAATCCAGGGAAGTTTCCAATCCATGTCTGACCACTGTCACAGTTCTATAATCCAAAAGGGCCCAGCTTTTACAAAAAAGGGAGAAAAATAAACAAATACAAATTTTGCTAAATTTTCCATGTACCATCGGGGACCGTCTTATTTGAACTAAGAATGAAATTTTGTTCTTTGGCGGTTTTATGTATTATTTTGCTGGGAAGAAAAGAGAAACACAGCGGCGTGGGTTTAGTTTTGTTTTAATTAAAATTGAGGCAAAGGTAAATTACAAAATAATATCATTTTTTCAGAGTTTCTACCGTTCTGTTCTTGTAGCCTCGAGCTATCTTTTAATAGCTCTGGCCTAATATATTCCTAATTTGAAATGAAATATTAATTACGATATGGTGTATTTTACCTCACCACTCTATTACGCCTTCTTTCACATGCAAAAATTGGCCAAAATTGTATGAATGTTATACAGTTCCCTATGGTTCTGTTTGCTTCTAAAAACTATGTAATTGTTAAACCCTGTCCATGCATACTTTTTACCTGCATAGACGAAAAAATACGTTTTTCTTGAAGACAGGAGACTTTAGAGAACTGAAAAAAATAATGTGGATATATTAGAGTCTCTTTAATATGCGATTTTTAAAAATTAGTATTTTTTGCATAGTCTCACAAAATAATATAGTTATTTTTTGTAAACACTTCTGCGTTAAACCTAAACGGACACTGCTTGTCAGAAGTTACGTTTACAGTTATACAAATTTGCCTAACAAAGAAAAAAATGCTTAACGTTTCGGAAAGTTTATCTCTTTCCGTCGTCGGAAGCAAAAAAAATCAAACAATAAAGAAAAAAACTATTTAAAATATTTAAATTCAACTATTCGAGATCACTTTACTTTTTTAAAACAGATACGTCTACAAGAAACCGTTGACGTTCTGTTAAAATGACATTATATCAAGTTAAACTTCAAAATTAACAATTACTACCTGATAACAATTACCAAAACCAAAAAGTCCAAACTTTCTGTATGATTATTTTTAACGTATGTTATGTTTATTTATGTTATGTTCGTTAAAATCAAAGAAACGATTGCCATACATTACTAACATCTACAGATGCATGAGCAATACATTTATTTTTATTAGATTGAATTAAAAAAAACCTCTTTTATTTTTCTTTTAGAGGTTATCGCTTCTTTCATTATAATTTTGGCGTTATTAAAATTTATTTTGTACCCTGTGTTCCATGAATGCTGACAAATCTTAGATTTGTGAAAATCTCCCTTTCTTAAATAATTTTTAGTGTTCTTTAATTCTAACATTTAAGGGTCTAGATGTTTCACCAATGTAAAATTTATCGCATTCGCAGGGTATTTGGTATACACAATATATACAACTTACAGTTCCATACATACGAGGCGTTCCGGAAAAAATAAGAAGGATAGGAAAACAATATAACATACGAACATTTTTCAAAACACAAAATACACTTAGATCCATTTTATCACATACTAAACCAATGAATACAGAACAACAAACAAAAAATGTAATATACCAAATACCCTGTGAATGCGATAAATTTTACATTGGTGAAACATCTAGACCCTTAAATGTTAGAATTAAAGAACATAAAAATGATTTAAGAAAGTGAGATTTTCACAAATCTAAGATTTGTCAGCATTCATGGGACACAGGGCACAGAATAAATTTTAATAACGCCAAAATTATAATTAAAAAAGCGATAGCCTCTAAAAGAAAAATAAAAGAGACGTTTTTAATTCAATCTAATAAAAATAAATGTATTGCTCATGCATCTGTAGATGTTAGTAATGTATGGCAATCGCCTTCTTTGATTTTAAAGAACATAACATAAATAAACATAACATACGTAAAATTTAAAAATAATCATACAGAAAGTTTGGGCTTTTTGGTTTTACCTTATTAAGTAATTATTAATTTTGAAGTTTAACTTGATATAATGTCATTTTAACAGAACGTCAACGGTTTCTTGTAGACGTATCTGTTTTAAAAAAGTAAAGTATTCTCGAATAGTTGAATTTAAATATTTTAAATAGTTTTTTTCTTTATTCTTTGTATTTTTTTACCTACCGACGACGGAAAGAGATAAACTTTCCGAAACGTTAAGCCTTTTTTTCTTTGTTAGGCAAATTTGTATAATTGTAAACATAACTTCTGACAAGCAGTGTCCGTTTAGGTTTAACGCAGAAGTGTTTACAAAAAATAACTATTTTATTTTGTAGATTTTCTTGCAGTGCAGTGGCGAAATACCCATAAAGGATTTTTTTGGAGAGATGAATCCGCCACATGGGTATAGACATTTTTTAAAATAATATAATTTTACAAAATTGTTTAGATATATCAGGTTATTACCAAACGATTTACTATTTTCACAATTAGCTTTGCGTGTTCACAAATTAAATTTGAACAATAAATAAATTTTTGTAGTAGAATATAGAATGATGAGAAAAGGGGTTAATAACCGCGCCCTTAAAGATCTATTTTCTTGAGTTATAACTCATCATAATATGTGGATTTTGCTGTTGTAGATTAGATTCCTAGAAGTGGCTCGTGGCCTGATCCACTGCGACTGTCTTAGACCTATTGTGGTCCTCTTCTGATCCATAGGTTACATTCTCCAGTCTATCCTTTTCACAAAGTTTAGCAACTTGGAGACTGAACCTTCCATGTAGTTCCCTGGCAATGGCCTATCGTTGCCTATTACCGAGAACGGCACATTTGCCAGGCTGTCGCACCGAACACAAATCGACATAAATTTGTGTTCAGTCGTTTGTTCTGCAGATTGGCAGAACCTACACATAGCTTCATCCGTCACTCCCATTAGCTTTAGATACCCATTCAGCTTACAATGTCCTGTTAGTAGACCCACTACAGCTTTGACTGTCTTTCTGTCCTTCCTTATCAGGTCTACCGTGAATTTTGGCGAATGTTCTACAATGAACTTTTTCGCCTGTCTCTGTCCTGGTGAGTTTCTCCACCATTCTAGAGATTCCCAAACCCATCGTTCAGTGGCCATTCTCGTGACTGCCTTTGTAACGCCGCAGAGGGGTTCTGGGCCTATGAATGGCACTGATGAGCCTTGTTTGGCTTTTTCATCTGCCTTGTGACCATCGTGCCCTGGTACCCAGGCCAACGTAACAATGCTACGCTCACCCAAAGTATTTTGAGCAGGCACACATTATTATGAAGATGGCCACAGAACGATGTATTCTTCATGTTGTAGGGAGGACAGGGTATATCCCATCCTTTTCTAACAACAATTATTGTTCCATCCGTGGAGTGGACATCTAGGTACCTCCTACATGGGTAACCCTTTCACGGTTAGGGTTTTACCCTTTTTGCTCTTAACAGTCGAGGAGCTTATACCCTCGGTTCAGGTGCCCTTGATGGTGGAGGCTCTCCTTAGACCTGATACCGGTGCGGTGTAGTCCTGGATCTATAATAGGGGATGTATATCTCTTTCTCTAGTGCCTCCTTGGATTTAAGGTCAATTCCTTTATTATGAGGATCTGACCATCACCTTCCTCCCTCGAGCTAATGACTCGCCAACTCGATGTCCTTACATTGGAGTTCTGGCAAAGCCGTTGACAGGGTTAGTGTGTCCATCCTTATGTTAATTAATTTAATTCTGAACACACACAGAAACCTATCAACTTTTTATAAAAAACGCCGGATCTCTATCTATTTTTTAATCTTTACTTTTGTGATGTGATTATATGTTTCGATTTTTTCAAATTTTGATACACCCTGCTCAAAAGTTTTGACTGTGGGTGAATAAAAACTTCATAAATTCAAAATTGCTTCTTTTCAAATTATTACCTTGTATTTAAACGAATATTTTTAATAAAAGGTATAAATTATGAATTTATTACTCTCTTGAAGTTATATTTTTTGTTTAATAGAAAAATTATGTTGATTAGTAAATATGATATATGTAAGCCTCTGGATTAGATAAGAAAATAACTCTGGAATAAGGAAATCTTTCATGGACGGATACCATAAAAGTTGTTTCAGAATTTAAGAGAATAATACTTCACAAAGTGAGATGATATTTTTCATGAGAACTATAAGAGATTAAAAGTTTAATTAATATTTTTATTTTTGTGTATTTTGTTTTGTCTTAAAGTTATTTAAGATGTTTATAAGGGTTAAACATGTTAATATAATGTATAATGTTAAAAAACTCAAATTTTTAGAGAAATTAGTTAAAAGTATGTAGTAATAATAATAAAAAATCGTGGGTATAGGAAAGTGTTAAATGAAACAATAATTATATTCTGTGCAACGTTTCGCGACTTTATTGTCGCTTAAATATTGTTTCATTTGAGCCTTCCCAATACAATTCTGTAAACTTTGCCAACATCCAAGATTTTTTTTCCTACTTACTAATTGCTCAACAAATCCAAATTTTACATTAAATTTATAGTCTCTTCAATTAAGTTTTCGTTGATACTATTAAAAAGTTTAAAGGTCTATTATTAGACCAACAACACAAGGAACCAACAAATAAGACAAAATAACACAAATTATATTATATGAAAAATCAGCTTCTGATAAAACAATTTTCTTTGTAATTATTATATCATATTTCGTTTATTGGCAAGAAACTTGGAGACACCCTTGTGCTTCTACTTAAAGAATATTAGTATTCCAAAAGGTTTTTTAAAAGAGAACACAAGCCAATACATTTCTATTAAAATGTAATTGAGATTGGTCGCAGCAGATTTAGGATTTAGATACTGACATAAATATCTTACACAGAAACGGCACTTCCAGAAACTTCCAGAAAAGGAAGAAAAGGTCCATGATGAATTTATAAGAAAAACAAGTTCAATCGCTGAATCAAAAGGCAAGTGTGAGTATGAATCAATTAAAAAGTATCAATATATTTCGAAATTTATTTTTATTTATAGACATAAAATATTGTTCTTAATTATTATAAATATAATTTTATTTAAACAGGGTGTCCTAGAAAAAAATGCAGATAATTTAAGGGATAGTAGATCGGGTCAAAAGAAACATCTTTTCTCTTTACCATTTTAAAATAAATTGAAAATAACCGAGTTATTTAACTTTGAAAATTTAAAAAAAGAATTGCAACATTTTAAGAACCGCTGGTGATAACCGGTTTTCAGCTTATTCGATGCCTCAGGTGAATAAACAAGTGGCACTAAAAAGTTTTTTAAAATTTTTCTGAAAATGTCAAAAAATATAAAATTTTCAAGAATTTTTTTTCGCAACAATATCTCATAAGCGTGTTTCTGTGGCCTGATTATTTTTTAATTTTATATTTTTTTTATTTTAATTATTATATGAATTTATCTCTATCATTAAAATTTAAAATATTTGCACTTATTTCTGGGACACCCTGTATATAAAAATAATTTGATGTCCACAATTCATTTTCATTATATTACAAATCAAAAAGTTTAGTCAAACTGTACTCCAAAAAACCTCTTAAAGGAAAGTTTTGGAATAGTTCGATAGACTTTAAAAATATCAACTTTTCGTAGATAATATTTCTATTCAAAATTGAAGTACAGACAATTTTCTTTAACATACGCTAATCTTGAATCAGCGCTAAAACCTAATCGTATGACGAAAAAAATATAAAGAACCGAATTTGTAGGGAACTTTGTCTACATTTATTTTATACAGGGTGCTACAAATTCGAGGTACGAGCATTGGTATCTCGGTAACCTTAATAGATACGAACATAGTTAAATTGGGATAAAGTTGCACATTTGGATGTTCACCAAGATGCCATCAAAAAAGTTTTAAAAATTTCAAGGATTGCTGAGTTTTTTGAAAAAACTGATTTTTTTGAAAATCAATTTTATTTTTTCCTGTCGTTACTTTTTAGAAAATAAAAAAATTAATTGCACATTTTCATAGCCACTTTATTAGGGCTATCTGATTGTATTTTTAGATTTTCAAATTAGCTGATGAATTTGTGGGATACAAAGGCCAACTTAATTTTTTTAAATACGGACCTGCATTTTTTATTTCAGGATTTGAATGAACTCAGTCTCCTGAATACAATGATATGCCACACTTTATACTTTTTTTTTGTTTTGGGTACCTTAATAGCGACAAAACTATTTAAATTATTATATTTAAAATAATGTCAAGTCCGACTCTGGTTTCTTAAATTATTTAATCTGATTATATTCATCGCAACAATATTGATCAGCGCTAATTAACATTGAATAAGGAAATTCGAGCAAATTGGAAGATTCAAATAAATAATATCCAGGTCAGGAATTTAAAGCTATCATTTTTAACTTTTTTTATCGTGAATTTGAAATCTCAATGTGCGATCTAATAATATGCATAATATTAATCGTAGTTATTATAAATAAATCATCTTCTACAAACTAGTTTTTCTATGTTCTGCATGTTCGAAAAGGTTACCAGTTACCACTCTCTCTATTGCACAAATTTATTTTTCGTTCAATTTTATTTATAGCTCTTTGAACTTTCTTCTTATACTTCCGAATGTATTTTGTATTCTATATTGTAAATGTTGAGATAAATTGATTTCACTTTTACAAATGACGTCAAGTAATGTAGCCCCTTGGCAATAGGTCCAGGAACCTCGCTCGACATTATACTGCTCTACCATTTCCAGTTCATCTTCCGGGAAAATGATTTGATTGTTTATATTGTTACGGATTCCGTGGGTCCACTATTTAAACTCACGATAAAATACTTAACGAATTTATTTGTTTCACTTTTTTGTTTCACTTTTTTGTACACACAACTTATACTATTTACAACACAACTTATGCAACTACTATTACTCTAACGGTATTTCGCGGTATTTTCAAACTTTAGACTTCAAACTTCAAACTTTAAACTTCAAACTTGTCCAACTGTCAAAGCGCGGGCCTTATATACCCCCTTGCGGTTGTTTCTAGATTTTTCTAAAGAATTCTATAATTTTCTTTACTTTCTGGCGAATGCGCCAGGTTCCTCAATGCACCTTGCGATTTTTTTTAGCAGTATGCAGTTATGCAACCAGTAATACACCTTGACAATATTATATTATATTTATATTAATTATTTTATTGCATTTGATTTTCCGTATTCAATGTTTTACTCCACGTCTTTGTTAAGTTTGAATGCTAATCAATATTGTAACGATAAATAGATTAAATATTTAAAAAAAAACAGAGTCGTTCTTAAAATTAGTTTATTAATAAATTGTGTTCAAATGTCCGACATAAAAAAAATATTAAGTGTGGCATATCATTGTACTCAGGAGACCGAGTTCTTTCAAAATCTGAAATAAAAAATGCAGGTCCGTATTTAAAAAAATTAAGTTGGCCTCTGTATCCCACAAATTATCAGCTAATTTGAAAATCTAAAAATACTATCAGATAGCCCTAATAAAGTGGCTATGAGAATGTGCAATTAGTTTTTTGACTTTCTAAAAAGTAATGACAGGAAAAAATAAAATTGATTTTTATCAGTTTTTTTCCAAAAAAACTCAGCAATCCTTGAAATTTTTAAAAATTTTTTGGTGGCATCTTGGTGAAATCCCAAAGTGGCAACTTTGCCCCAATTTAACCATGTTCGTATCTATTACGGTTACCGAGATACCAATGCTCGTACCTCGAATTTGTAGCACCCTGTATAGAAGTATTATTTCTGAAAAATTAATTTTCGCGTTATAAGCAAAAAGAAAACGGAAAAATTGCATTTTCTGCGTTTTTTGCATTTCGTCAATATCCCGTCACGAAATTTTGTTAGCAACCATCAGATTCAGATTCAGCGCCCCAAAAAACGCAAAGAACAAAATAAATCAGAACTATACACCAAAACTTGCCCACCAAAATTACAATTTGGCTAGACTATTAGAAAATAAACTAACATTTCTCGGTATGTATACAGACTGTCCCAAAAGGGGGAGATCCACCAAAAACATTTAAAGATATTGGGTTGCCGATGACCGAAGTAGTCATTGCCGGTGAAACAGGAAGTGACTGAAAATAACTATTTACGTCAATCATTCCTAATTTGTTTCATATACTAACATACCAAATCTCCTTTTATACCGCCACTTTTGAAAAGCACCCGGTAGATATAGGCAATCAAAATTAGTACATGAAATTTTACAAAGTAGTGATTTAAAATAAGTGTTTTACTATTATGGATTGTGACACCCCGTATACAGGGTACCCCAGGTTACGTGCATTAGAAGTTTCTAGAGAACTAGGATATCTATATCGGAGATTTTTTGTTTCTATCGATTAAAAATATTTTCAATATGACGGCACAAATTAACCATTTTAGAATAAGATTTTTTTTTTATGAAGAATGCATTTTTCTCAAAATGTCAATAATAAAAAAGTTTTTCCTTGATAAAGACAATCCGGGGTCATACTGTAGACTTTGCTGTAGATAGAGTCAGTGTTTGAAATTAAAATTCATAAAATTTTACATATAATATAAAATTATTCGGTATTTCCGGAAGTGGCGCTTTTGTTGAAAACATTTTAAATCGGATAGATCTCGTTGGGAACCAATGACGTACAAAAAATATCCGATCTAGATATTATACTTCTCTAGAAACTTCTAATATACGCTCAGCCTGGGAGACCCTGTATATACCTACATAATAATAAAATACTGTTTTATAACCATAATAATAATCCATAGAGATAGATGTATTCGAGATTAAATTTAGTAAATTAATAAACGTTTCGAAACTTACTGCCGTCACTTTTATTGGTTATCACTATAACGTTGACCTTGCTGCTTTAAATGTCTTTAAATCTTAATGTACCTAGTACCAGTACTATATTCGTATCGTCCATAAACAAGTCCTATAAACATTCTCGATAATTGTAGATTTCCATAAAAGAATTTAAATTGCTGGTTTATTGATAATAATAATAAGTAAAATGGAATTTAATTTTAAAGGAAAAAGAGCTCTAGTAACAGGAGCCAGCCAAGGTATGAATTAATTTGTTTACATTTTGTCTATTAAATAATACACTGTATTACCAACATGAAAATTATGTTTTCTTTGTTTCTTATAGGTATTGGTCGTGAAGTTGCCAAAAAACTAGCATTATTAGGTGCAAAAGTCACTGCCCTAGCAAGAAACAAAGATCATTTGAGTATGTTATAAAAAATTAAAAATCGATCTAATATGAATGATGTATCAATTATTATATTTGCAGCATCGTTAAAAAAAGAAGTTTGTTCTATCGATATCTATCCCGTGGACTTATCTAACTGGAAGGAAACTGAAGAAGTTCTTAAAAAAGTTGGAGATATAGATCTATTGGTTAATAACGCTGGTCTTGCCATCTTGGGACCGTTAACCGAAGTAAGCGAAGACGATATCGATAAGTAAGTATATTTAATAGAGATGAGCAAAACTGCGATTCGATATTGAGTATAATTATTGAAACTGCGATTGCGATTTTCAAATCGCAGCGACTGTAACCTGCGATTATGATTTTAATATTTAAATATTGTACTAGGTATACAGGGTGTCCCAGAAATAAGTGCAAATATTTTAACTAGTAGTATATTTCGGCATCAAAAACACGCCTATGAGGGTTTTTTTGCGAAAATTTTTTTTGAAAATTTGGAATTTTAAAAAAAAAAATTGAAATTTTTTTAGTTTAGTTTAAGTTAAAAAACATAATTTCTTGATAAGATAGCAACATGGGTAGTAGATTAAATTTACACGAAAGAAAATCCAGAAAAGATCCAGGGTTCCAGTACAGTGGTTCTCAAAAATTAAGCAAACAAGCTTTTCGTTTAAATTTTCAAAGTAAAATAACTTGCTTATTTTGGACTTATTTGAAAAATGGTAAAGAGAAAAGGTGGTCCCTTTAAAATACTTGCACTTATTTCTGGGACACCCTGTATAATTGTCTGTGTATGTATCTATAGCTTAACAGTTCAAAAGAGTTAATATAATAATCAGTCAAGTCTAAGTTTTTTTAATATCTGCAACACATTATAGGTATTAAAACTTTATACAGGGTAGTCCGAACTGTATTCCGGAAACTTCAGCAGCATATTCTGCAGATAAAAATAAGTAAAAGTGTTCGTATAGATATATGTCCAAAAATGCTTAGTTTCGGAGATACAGGGTGTAGAAGATTTATTTTTATTTCGATTTTTTCCAAATAATTTCTGCATTAACGTCAATATTTGGATTAAAATTGGTGTCTGGGAGTTTTTTGACATGAGAAATTTGATTTTGATGTCAATATGACTCCTACTTGTAGAGGGCGCCACCTACATATTTTTAACTGGTTTGAAGAGTAATAACTTTTCGTCCGTACCTGTATAAAACTACTGAGTAAGAAAATATACATTTGCGACGTTTTTTACGTAAAAGAGACCTTCTCTTGGTAAAAATAGCTACGAGTAATGGTTTTCGAGATATTTGGAATCGAAATTATCAATACCTGTCATCACTGACATAAATTAAACATGTTGACTAAATAGTTATTAGACTGAGATCATAAATTTGCAATGTTTTTGCACCAAATGTTCAACAAAAACTGTTTTATCATCATTTTTTGCAGAAAAAAAAATAAAAAATTCCCAAATTTATTATTTCAGTGAAATAACTATCTACTAAACGTGTTTATTTTTCGTCAATAATGGTATGTATTAACTATTTCCATTCTAAATATCTTGAGAACGGTTGCTCGTACCGATTTTTACAAAGAGATATTTTTTACGTAGAATTAGAATTAGAATAAGTGGGAGGGGGGTTAATCTCTGTGACCTTAGAGATCTATTGTGTCCCCCTTTCTTGAGTTATAACTCATCATACAGTCCCAGGACTTCCTACGGAGACCCGTGTCCCTCACAGTCGAGGAGCTACGACCCAGGCCGGGTAGACGAAACGGTAGCTTGTGTCGCGTGTTGGGTTTAGAGGTAGGAGGTAGGCTCCCGACCCTTGGAGGAGGTGGTAGCTTGTATGCCACTTGCGGAGGATGGTCTCACGTAGTTTAAACACCTCTCCTGTAGTTCTCTTTGGGTTTGGTTTGGTTTAATCGTATTTTTTACGTAAAAAATCACAGAAATGTATATTTTTTCCCTCGGTAGTTTTATACAGCAACGGACAAAAGTTATTAGGCTTCAAAACAGTTAGAACAGATGTAGGTGGCGCCCTCTACCAGTAGGAGCCATATTGACATCAAAATCAAATTTCTCATGTCAAAAAACTTCCAGACACCAATTTTCATTTAAATATTGACGTTACTTCAGAAATTATTTGGAAAAAATCGAAACAAAAATGAAATTTCTACACCCTGTATCTCCGAAACTTAGCATTTTAGGACATACATTTATAAGAACTTTTATACGTAGTTTTATCTGCAGAATATGCTGCCGAAATTTCTGGAGTACAGTTCGGACCACCCTGTATATGCTGTAACTGTTTTAACTACACATACCCACTCTTTTTACCAGTTCTCAATTATCTAATTCTTTACCCAATTCTTAAAAAATCTAAAAAATTTTTTTAATATGGCTCGCACCCCTCACCCCGAGCCTCACCCCTTCGTAAAAAAATTATTTTTCTAAATATGCCAATAAGGAGCCACCCTCGCTCCATTTGAAAAAATTGAGATATGATTAAAAATACGATTTGGGCATCAACTGGCCAGGAGAAAAGACGAAAAACAACAGACGATATACTATTTTTCCAAGGCATCTTGATTGAAAATTAGTGTTTTTAACACAGCCATGACATTCTAGATTGAAATTTAAAATAGTATTTTTTAAGCGAAAAAATGTTAAAAGTTGCCATAATATGTCATTCTATTCAGAGTGAGCATTTTATATCAAATAAAGTAAAAAAATACCGGGGTGCCATTTAAAAATCAAAAGTTGTAGTCATTTCCGGTAAAACAGGAAGTGACCAAAAACAATTAAATACGTTAATCAATCCTAATTTATGTCATATAGGTACTAACATACCAAATCTAGTTTTTTTATCAGAAAAAATAAAAAAGTTATAGGAATGAACCACTCTTGAGAAACACCCGGTATATTATGATCGTGGCCCTAGAAAAATAATACCTCTCTATAAATAAATAATATCAGAGAGAAAATTCAATCGCAGTTTAATGTAAAATGCTTCTATATACCACAAAATTACAGTCGCACCAATATCGCAAATCGCAACTCCTAAAAATTCAAACTCGCAGATATAAGGTTATCAGGGTCCTAGTTTACAAAATCACAATCGCAGCAAAATCGCAAATCGCAACTATAGTAATATTGGTTGCCCAAATTGAAACTCGCAAATAGAAGAAATCGCAAATCGCAGTTTCCTATGACAACAAATCGCAGGTTGCGATTGCGATTTCAAAATCGCTGCGATTGTATCGCCGTTTGCGATTTTTTGCTCATCTCTAATATTTAACACCAGTTCCTATATATATTGCTGCCATCTGTATTTTAAAAGGAAAAAAATATCTATAACTTTAGAAAAATATACAGGGTGAGCTAAAATTTAAATAGATTTTTGTCGCAGAATTAGATTTGTAAAAAATGTTATTACTAATTGGTATAAATAAACAAGTATATCAACATTCCTGTTTTCAGAAACTATTTACAGGTTACTTATATCTTATATGTTAATATAAAGGGGAACATTACTAGTACTACCAGTTTTTTACCACTCCTTTCATGACCTTTATTTATTTTAATGTACTCAACGCTATGGACAGATCATTATCAACATACAGAGTATACGCTTGATAAGGCAATTCTGCAAATTTTGGTTTTTGTGAGTTAAAAATAAATGAAGACAATAGAAGTCCGAAATTTATTTAGTATCATATTTTTGAGTTTCGTTGTCTTTATTTCTTTGATCCTACACAAAACGTTTCGGTCAGATGTATCACTGATCGTTATCAAGATACAGGGTGGCGCCTCTCATACACCGCGGAAGCTCCAAGGAGAATGGTAAATGGTAAAGTTACACATCAAGGTTGTGTTTGTTCTAATCGTATACCTAAATTCTAAGGATTTTGACATATTTCACATTTTGTGAAAATAAAGAGTAAATTTTAAATTTCGATAACAGATCTACCTAAATTTTCGTTGACCTTGTATAGCCTGATATTTGGTTATAGTAACCATTGTATGTTACCAAATTGAAATTTAACAAGCAAAGTTATACAGGGTGAGACAAAATTAATATGGAACATTAGTCACTTTTAAAAGCAAGTTACTCTTTTATTTTAAATGGAACACCCAGTATATTATTCCGGTGTTCAATTGGGAATTTATATACCTTCAAAATATTATTAAGGTTGTCTACCCCTTAGACAAAGATTTTTCTAGATATTTTAATTTTTATGATTTTGCGTCAGTAGATCTTTATTATTTGAAAAAATCTAGGGTGGTTGTGTGATATACCTTTTGTTAATTTAACAAAAATTAAAAATTGTAGAGTAAAATACTCAACGGTAATAAAAAGATACACGTTTAAAATATATTTTAATTATTATAGAATTTAAACAATATATAAACCTATAATTATGTAACAAAAATTAGCTAGATGAAATCAAATGCTCAAAATGCTTCCTTTCCTTTTAACTGCATAAAATGATTGTCTTTTCAAAACGATCTTTTCATAAGGCGTAGGTGGAATTCTACCTCGAAAAGCAGTTACAATAATTTCTCTCATGTTGTCGACAATAGTTGGTCGAGTTTTGTAAACACTGTCTTTAACATATCCCCATAAAAAAACAGACTAGATAAAATCAGGAGCATTTAAGTATTCTATTAATTCTCTCTGATGTAGGATAAGTTTGCATTTTCGGCAAATTTCTGAGACTTTCTTTTGTTTTAACTGACACGAAATGATAAGTAGTTGTTAAAGTTTGACTAATTAGACAGATATGTTGAAGTAACGTCAGACATACCACGCCACATTACAGCCACCTAGATTTTATCAAATAATAAAGATCTACTCAGATCAAAACAAGTAAATGAAGATATCTAGGAAAATCTTTGTTTGAGGGGTCGGCAACCTTAATAGTATTTTGAAGAGACATGAATTCTCCATTGAATATCGGAATAATATACGGGGTGTTTAAAATAAAAGCGTAACATACTTTTGAAGGAGACCAATGTTCAATATTAATTTTGTCTCACCCTGTATAACTTTTTGACTCAAGTTTTAATTTGATTTAAAGTACAATAGTTAATTTCATTACATATTAGGTTATACCGGGTAAATTCCAATTCAGGTAGCTTTTCACCTTTTTATATTTGCCAGAAAGGGCAAAAGAACTTCTTCACTTTCACAACCACAATTTCTACCCAAAGAAAATCAATATTCTAGTCAGCCACCATAATATAGATCTTGTTGTAAACAGCCTACTATCAACTAGCGAAACTATAGAGCTTTCAGGTAGTATAAGCAACCCTGTAACGTAACTCTTTTTTAAAAATAATTGCGATGAGAACGAAGGGTGCCACTATTGGTATTTAAACATTTTTTTTATTAACTGTTGACTGTTGATTAATCTAATACATTTAATTTTTTTTAGGGTTTTTAACATTAACGTCAAAGCAGTAATTAATCTTACCAAATACGCCGTACAGAACCTGCTAAGTAGAAATGTAAAAGGCTCAATTGTCAACGTTTCATCTCAAGCCTCCGTAGTTGGGTTAGACAACCATACAGTTTACTGTGCATCTAAAGGTGCCGTTGATGCATTTACCAGAGCAGCAGCCTTAGAATATGGTCCCAAAGGTATCAGGGTAAATAACGTAAACCCAACTGTAATTTTGACAGACATGGGTAAGTTGGGTTGGTCCGATCCAGCAGTTGCCGAACCTATGCTGGCAAAAATTCCTCTAAGAAGGTAAAAGTGTTTAAAAGGACATTATGACTAATTTTTGACTAAAAGTTGATTAACCCTTTAACGCTTTTTTTCAATATATATACTTTATTTTTCATCTGTTTAACTTCTAGTTCAACTTATTTTTTTAATTTAATGCGTGCAGCAGCATTTGAAGTTTCCATTATTATAAACATCGTTATTACTTTTTCATATACCATGAAAATGCAAGTATCTATATTGCAATAAATTCAAATAGTTGTAGAGAATCTTACCCCTCAAAAACAAACATATATAATATCGTAATACTACAGCCCATTTATTAAACAGCCAGTCTACTTCGCTAGTATTTGAATACCCGCGCGTACCTGTTGTACCAAGGTTGTACCACGTACTCACAACGGCAGTCAGAGCAATAATCTCGATAGTTTTTATGAACGGATTTTTATGGAGCTCAGAATCCGCAGCCTACTAGATATGCGAATTGTTATGCAACGAAGTTATGCAGAATTATAATTTAGAATGAGTGGGAGGGGAGATAATGACTGCGACCTTACAGATCTATTGTGTCCCCCTTTCTTGAGTTATAACTCATCATACAGTCCCAGGGCTTTGACAAAAGCCAGTATCTGGGACGGTTTTACAGAGGGTAGTTCTCCATCTCCAATATCAGTCGTACCAAAGTTCATGGCACGACTGGTTGTCGTCTCTATGCAGAGTTCCATGTAAACGAACGTATAAGTCGACTGACTAATAAATGAATAGGCTCTACATAGAGCACAATAGTCTGTACAAAGAGCAACATGTACAGGGTGTTCCATTTTGGTTGAAATCACATACGGTATCTCCGTTATTCGTGAAGATAGAAGGGTGCGGTTTGCACAAACCTGTACCACTTTTTTGTTAAACGGAAGATGCCGTAAACAAAATTTTCATAGCCCTCTTCGTTTCTGAGCTACAGGGTCTTTTTGAAAATTTTGCAATTTGGGACACCCCCTGCATCTCTGTTATTCTTGAAGGTATCGAGAAGATGAAAACTGTTTATTGTAGAACTTTTTACGTAGAATACAGTGGCGTAGTCTGTCATTATACGAAAATAATATTTTTAAAGATATGAACTTATGTTATGAAAGTTACTTTTCCTTAAATGAAACACCATGTATATTTATAAATTATTTGATCTGGCTTACCATAAGCTTCTCAAAAATAAAAAAAAATATATATATATATATATATATATATATATATATATATATATATATATATATATATATATATATATATATATATATATATATATATATATATATATATATATATATATATATATATATATATATATATATATATATATCGATATATAATATTAATATAATATATCACTCTATATTTATTTTCACTATTTACTGCAATATTTAAAAGTTTTTATTAAAAGATCATATTTATTAGGTGGCCATGATTTTTGATAATAAAAGAAACTAAAGAATTATTAAAAGTATATATTATTATATATACACTATTGCTATGTGTCTCTTGTTTTATTTTGGGAGCCACTAATAAATTCTTTACATATTAGGAAAACTTAACTCTCTACCGCTATTTGTAAATCTTAAAATCTACCAATCCCAAGTAAAATTTTAATATGTGTATGACTACTTTAGTAAATACGATTAATTAGTTATTAGTTAATACGAATTATTTTCACATTTATTGTGTCATCTGTTTGACAATCTGAAATTGGCGCGCGGAGCTTGCCGCCCAATGGTGCCGTTTATCACCTGTGACGTAGTGACCAATCTGCGCAATATCATGCCTTTTATTCTTTGTATCATGGATGCTTTACCTAGACCCATGATACAAAGAGTACAAGGTATGATGGTCATTACGTTGTAGCGTTTTATTTTTCTTTTTATAAAATTCCAAATTTTAATATTGCTGGCGCCATCTATTCGCTAGATGTTAAACTTCATTCAGTACAGGTAGCGGTTCCTTTCCATAAAAACAAATTTCATTCAGTATAGACGATAGAGTTCACTTAATTGCCTTTGGTCATATGACCTGTCAATTCGAAGACTTCCGTTTTGCGAAAAGGAGGAAGGAGGCTTTTTCCGAGAGATTGAGATCAGAAAAAGACGCGTGGTTCAGCGTCCGACGAATCTCAGAGAAAAAGGGCTTTCTGAAACACTTTTCATAACAGTAAAGGCACGGGTATCCAAAACTGGAGATTTGAAATCCTGTAAGAATATACTGTTCAGAGCCTAGTTCTTGTTTTTTTGGCCTTTTCCTGGAATAAGATCACAGTAAGTGTATCTACCATTTTGTATCGCCATGTCTAACTAAATTTTATTTCAGTTATTCCCGTTTTTTATTTATTTTGATAATGTTTGATTGTGCATTACTGGTTTGGATCAGCATATAGTTTGGCTATATTTTGGAATGTGTACAGCTGATTTTCAGACCGTAAGTTATTTTTTTGGTATTCGGTGACTGTTCTGAGAGTTTTTTTTTATATAGAGTAACTGGCGTATAAGAAATTGACGTATAAGTAATTGGCATATGAGTAACCACTTTTGAGACAGTATTTATGACTCTACATTTATTCTACTGATATCGAAGACTCCTGCTACTATCGAAGAGTCTACATCCACTTCCGTTAGTCTGGAGACTGCCTGCCTACCTGTTCACTACGTCACAAAATTAAAAAAAAGAAGTGGATTTTTTTTGTTATTTATCACGGCCTACTAATAAAAAAATTATATATTTTAAATATTGTGCCAGTAAATAGTGAAAATAAATATAGAGTGATATATATTTTTGAGAAGCTTATAGCGAGGTGGATCATATCATTTATAAATATACAGGGTGTTCCATTTGAAAAAAATATAACTTTAGTTCATATTTTCAAAATCATTATTTTCGTAGAAAAACAGACTACGCCAATGTATTCTACGTAAAAAGTTCTACAAGAATCATTTTTCATCTTCTCGATATCATCCAACGGAGATATGGTGGCTGTCCCAAATTGCAAAATTTTTGAAAAGACCCTGTAGTCAGAAACGAAGAATACCGTTATACAATTATGAAAATTTTGTTTACAGCATCTTTCGTTTGACAAAAAAGTGGAACAGGTTTGTGCAAACCGCATCCTCCGATCTTTACTAATAACGAATATAGCGTATGATTTCAACCAAAATGGGACACCCTGTACATAAATGGAACCGTTATATGAGGCTGCCTTGCTTTTGGTTTGCAGCAAGACCAGGGTAGGTTCTGAAGTTGTTTTCAACAAGCAGAAAAAGTGAAGTTACCTGGTTATTGATTGCAGCTACCCAGGCAGGGGCGGATACGGAAATTTATTTTGGGGGGGGGGCAAATAAAAAGTAATGTAAGATGTGCTTTTTAGGGCGCGATTTTTAACAAAAAAGTGTAACATATTTAATCCAATTTATAGATTTTAGGGCGGGCCGGGCTCCATAGGCCCCCCTCTGTACCCACCACTGTGGCCCAGGGGCGCCGGCAGGGGCGCAACTAGACATATACTTTTAGGGGGGCTTAAGTCTTTTGGGGGGGCTTAGGTCACTAAGCCCCCCTAAGATAAGATTCATGTGAGGTTAAAACCAATTTTATACGACACGCACTGGACATATGGGGGGCTAAGCCCCCCCTGCCCCCCCCCCTAGTTGCGCCTCTGAGCGCCGGCTTTTCGAAAACCTCGGTGGGCGCTAATCAGATATGAGTAAATGTAACAAATTTCCAGATTGTTTACATATGTCACATACATAACAAAATTAGGAAGATACCATATTATTACCACAGAACAGATACAAATATCTGTTCTGTGTTATTACTATGTCATTTTTGCAATTCTATTGAGTATAATTTGAGTTATGCAGAAATAAAACTTTTTAGCGCACATACCAATTTGTGAAAATATTAATTATACTCTTTTCAATCGTATAAGGGCAGGCAGGAAAACAGACGGATACAGTATTTTATATAGAGATACAAAAAGAATGAACAACACAATCTGGAAAATTGTTACATTTACTCATATCTGATGAGCACCCACGAGGTTTTATAAAAGCCGGCGCCCCTGCTCTGTATGCTCCGTATGTTCTACAATTTGTTATTAATGTGTTTTGTTTTGTTTTTTAGATTTGGGGAAGTGGACGAAGTTGTTAATTCTATAATATTTCTATTAAGTGATCTATCTTCTATGACAACCGGATCAAATATCTATATAGATGGAGGATACGTTGCAATTTAAATCAAAATTATTTTTTATTTACACCGTTAATTTTAAATCTTAAATATTTGTTGTTCAATATTAGTTGGCTACAATAAAAATATCTGTTTTGGTATTGACGTAGTTTAAGTTTATCCACACAGATGGCAGCACATATTTTTAATTTTATAGTTTTTTAAATTTATGGTAGATAGCAGCCTTTCCCCGTTCATAAAAAAATACATGCTGGAAAAAAAAACAGCGTCAGCGATGGCTATGAAATGAATGTCGCTGTCATTTAATATGTAAAATTATATGGGAAATGTCATCGATGTTTATTTCCAAGCCAACTGGACGCCGTGTTTTTTTTCGATCATACAGAATTAATGAATTATTCATGAACTTAATAATAAATTTTATGGGAAAAATTTGAATAATAAAATTTTAATGATATTATCACAGACCCACTTAATTTCTTTGCTTATATTAGTTATCTCTACTTTTAGAAAAGGAATACGCTTTGATTAAATAAATAATTTCTTAATATATGTAGGTTGTTAATGTAGTATCACAAGAGTATCACAGGTAGTATGTAATTAATAATATGTTGGGCGGTAAGTATGTTGTTTAAAAAAACTCTGTGATAGGCTGGTATAAGGGACCCCTAAATTTTATTTAAACTATACAGGGTGTCCCATTTTTGTGTGTTTTACAGTGTTTCTCGTTTATGAGTAGAGTTACTACAACTTTTTGCGGTTACTATGCGGTTTCCACAATAAAAATATTAATTATAAAAAATTATGGGTCTGCACCTCAGGGCAAGGTTTACATTTGGGTTTCAGGTTCCAAGTCTCTTGGTCTATAGTCTCCAATTGTCATTAGATCTACGTACGTATTGTTGGGCCCAACATTTAAACAGCAAACGTGTTGGTAAAATGTGTCAACACATTTTAGTACACCCTGTATATGCTACTTACTGTTGAGCTTCTGGAGATTATTTTTCATACACAATAAGTATTTTTTTAAACAACATTTGGAAGCTACTTAATGAAAAGAAACATAATATATTTCTTTTTGAACGAAATAATATTTAATACTTTTTATGAATGGGGAAGGATACGATTATAATGACTTAAAAAAAGTAAAAAAAAACGGAAGCAATTAAGCCATGACACATTCTTTACTCTGTATTTTGGGGTATCAATTTCATGTGAAAGTTGATAATATCGTTGTTCGGTGATAAATTTAATGTAAATATATACCGATGATGTTTTAAGCTTGTTGAGAAATTAAATTTATTTCATTACAACATTGTTTACATATTTCTCTCTGTTTATATTTCAGTCACTTCAATTAAACATAGTATTCAAATCTTACAGTGCCTACAATGAGTTTTTACTTTATTATTCTGGGCTATATGTATTCGATTTTAGTATAAATGATAACCTGCCAATTTTCATAATAATTTAAGTTAACTGAATTTTTTAATTGGTGATTTCAAGTGTTTTATGTTTGAATATACAGGGTGACTCTTAAATAAGTGCAAATATTTTCAGGGCTGGTAGATCTTCATAAAAGACACATACTTTCTCTTTACCGTTTTTCAAATAAGACCAAAAGAACCGAGTTATTTTACTTTGAAAATTTCCAAAAAAAAGATTTTTTGCTTAAATTTTGGGAACCACCGGATCTTTTCTGGATTTTCTTTCTTGCAAATTTAATCTATTACCTATGTTGTTATATTATCAAGAAATAAAACTAAAAACTAAAAAAAAAATCCAAAAATTTTAAAAAAAAATCGAAATTTTTAAAAAAAATTCTCGCGTAAAATAACTCTTGTTCGTGTTTCTGGTGTCGAGATATACTAACTACCCTCTACCTTTAAAAATATTTGCACTTATTTAAGACTCGACTATTTTAGGCAAAGAACAAAAAATGCATATCAGACATCAGTGTCAGTTATTTCCTGTCGTCGATAAACTACACACAAAAAGACAATAGAAAATATATAAAATAATATTCTCCTCTTATTGACAGACCTCATAACCCTTAAAGAACATAAAATTATATGGGGAATGTAATTGATGTGTATTTCGAAGCTAACTGAACTGGACGCCGTTTTTTTCAACGATACAATAGGTATATTAATTTTTCTTATATTCTCATAGGTATATGCAAATCGTTAAATAAGCTTTGCTTTGAAACAAGTTGGTTAACATTAAAAAATGAACGTACCTACCTATGTAGGCATTTCAAAGCACATCAGCAGGATTTGAAGAACTATGCCAAGGTATTTTTAATGATATTCGCAATAAAAAATAATAACAGTGACGCGCTATATTTTTTCGCTACTATATTCAGGCAAAAGTTCGCAGAATATGACCTTAAAACAGTAAAACCAAGTATAAGGTTACTTCCCTAATTGTATCACTATCACGAACTAAATTCCTTATCCAGTTAAGGTCATTCACTCTTAAAAGAACTTGACACAGAAACGGATTGTTATTATTACATTTCTAATAATTGTGATGGGTACTCTTTCAAGATCAGGTCCTATTTATTCTTTGTTTTTGTATTTACTTTATATGTATAGGTTAAAACTACTTTTGGAAGTAAACAAGTACAGGATTATTTTAATTTATTATTCAAAAATAAATTACTGTAGTAGAGTATGAAGATTATCATGACAGACCGGAACAAGTTATCTTTTCAAAAGATATTTTCATGCTAAAAGGCGTATGTGGATTGGAGTTTGGTTTGGTTACTTCCATAGATTTAGGAAGAACAGATATCACATTTTGCATTTTAACCCGATCAAACAATCGGAGGTTGACTACGTACTGTAAAAACCAACTGAGATAGAGAAGGCGACATTGCCACATCTCAAATTTGCGCCTATCTACTTAGTTTGATTTGCAGAAAAGGTGACTTTAAAACCTTCACCGGATATCAATAAATCTCAATTTCTTAATTGAATTAATAGTTTATTTTTAAAGAAGCATGCGTAATAATATGGTTATTGACATGTTTACTGTTTAATATGCTGAAACGTCTAGAACTATTGGCAACGTCGCTGCTAGTCTTCCAGAATGAAATGAGCCGTCCGTCCCACCACCCCTCACGACGGCCCTTGGTCCGTTATAGCGTACTACGTTTAGCTTACGGTGTGTTTGAAGTCGGAATCAAGTCCGAAGTGAACTTTTCAGTGTTTTCAGTAGTTTTGCTTTTGTTTAACGTACTTTTGAATCTGCGAATTTTCAATATGGTACGACAGTGTCAAATGTGTGGAAAAATAAGCTCAAATTACCCGAATTTGTCTTTTCACAGGTAGGTATTGTTTCCGCCGCGCCGTAATCGCCGTACATAGGCGTCCCACAAGGGAGCCTCTCACAATTAAAATAATTTCTAATTATATTTGTTGAATTTTGAGCTATTAAAACAAGAACGTAGGTGCCGGTAATTGAATTATAATTCGTCTCAATTACTACTTAACTGTTATAGATCATAACAAATTTGAATATAAACGTTGCATTTGAAACTTTATTATAAGCCAGAAAGTGACATTTTTTTTTTTAAATTGCGTCATATTTTGGTCATTATATACGATATTCTAAAGGAATTTTGCTCAACAAATAAACAAAGGTGTTTACCCGCCCTTTTTTACATTTTATTGCATTATTATATCTGCCCCTTCGGCCTCATTTAAACAATTTTTTACCACCGTACCTTTTTTTTAGAATGGGACGAACTGTAAATAATTCTTAGGCCACTAGATTTATACATACCTATATACAGAGTGACCCAGGCCTCCAAAAAAGCTTTTTACCTATTACGTTTTTGGTTTGTAATTTTTATTTTAATTTTTTACATAAGATGGGGGCCATTGTAGCGCACATTTCCAAAATATTTTTGTCAACATACAGGGTGATTCTCGGGGTGATTCAAACCGCAATACATATGCTTAATACAGTTCATGAAGATTGGGACATTTAACTAAAATTTGATTGTCTGATGAAGCTACCTTTAAAAGTAATGGATTTGTAAATAAACGTAATATTCATTATTATGCGACAGAAATTCCATACTGTAGCACACAGATTTGATACTTTTAATGATAAATGCCTTCTATTGAGAGACTAAAAGGTAATTGCCTCGTATCAGAGCCATCATAATACAAGAAGAAGACCGAAAGTCAAATCTTGTCTTATATTTTCAAAAAAACACAATTTTCTCATTAAATATTGATTTTAGGTATAGGAAGTTATTAATAATACAAGATTAAACAACTATTACACAGTACTTTACGGGAAGCTATCGATTGCGAACTAACTAAATCGTTACTAATTACTAATATTAAAAGTTCTTTTAAGATCAAAAAGGTAAAACTAAAACCTAAATTATCATTTGAGATTAAACGGGAGGTTCTAAATAATGTTGCCTATTCTAAACAAGAAAAAATTATTTATAAGTTTTATAACATCTCTAATTAAATTTGGACGCAAATAATATTTCTGTTTGCTGTAGGTAATTTTCTCAGGGAAAATACGTAAATAAAAATGACTTTTTAAGTCAAAAAAAATCAAAAGGACAAGTTATTCTAAAAAAGGACAGGTGGCAACCCTAGGTATTTCTGGAATGGAAATTTAATGGCAAATCTACAACTTTAGTTTGAAAATATGTTCCGGCCACCTATGTTTACAAAAATGTCTAAAATGTGCTTTACCATTGCCTCCATATTCTGAAAAAAAATTGAAAGAAAAGTCACCAACCACAAACCTAATATAGAACTGTTTTGGAAGCCTGAGTCACCCTGTAAATATTCAAAAGTAACTGAAAGTTTATATAGAATTCACTGAAAGTTTAAATTGAAAATCGACGTTGGAGCGATTTTCGAAAACTACCTACTAACGTTTCAATATAAGTATATGTGGGATATTAATTATATTATATTAGACCTTATAACAAAACTCATCTGACGAAAAAGTGTTAATGTAGTATATTAATTTGGAGTAAACATTTTACTAATTACTTTACTTTTACTTTACTAATTAAATTCGTTCCAAAAAACGATACGCCACTGGCCACTAGAACAATCCAAATGCGCCTAGTTGCCGGGGTCGGAAATTTTAGACTTCT